TGGCAGTGCTTCAGGCAGAGGATTTACTTACCAATAAAAATAAATAAATCTTTTAAAAAAGATTTACCTCTTTATTTAAAAGATGGAGTAGCAGCAACATCCCGGGCTGGGTCAGGCCGAATCTAGGAGTCTAGAACCAATTGTCCCCTAGAGAGTTTTTAAAAAATATTTACTTATTTTGAAAGTATAGTTACTAGAGACTGGAGAGATAGAGTTCCATCTACTGGTCTACTTCCCTGATGGCTGCAACGGCCAGCAATGGGTCAGGATAAGTGAGCAGGCAGGAATTTCATCAGGGCCTCCTACATGGGTGGCAGGGGCCCTAATATTTGGGGTCATCTTCTGCATCCTTTCTTAGGCCATTAGCAGAGAACTGGATCAGAGATGAGAACAACTGGGACTCAAACCAGTGCCTATGTGGGATGCTGGTGCAGCAGGCAGCTTATCTGCTATTCTACAATGCCAGCTTCAGGGCTAGAAAAATTTTTCCTAGACATTAATACAAAAAGATTTATCTATTTTTATTTGAAAGTCACAATGACAGAGAGAGAAGGGGAGGCAAGAAGAAAGAGGAGCTCACTCTTCCATCTACTGGTTCACTCCCTAAATAGCTGCAATGGCCAGAGCTGAGCTGATCCAAAGCCAGGACCTTCTTCTCTGTCTCCCACATTAGCATATGGGGGTCCAAGACTTTGGGTCTTTTTCAGCTGCTTTCCCAGTACATTAGTGGGGAGCTGGGTTAGAGGTGGAGCAGCCAGGACTTGAACCGGCATCCGTATAGGATGCTGATGCCACGGGCAGAAGCTTAACTTGCTCTACCATGGAGAGGGCCACAAGGCTAGAGATTTTTGACATAACATTTCTGAGGGACAGTGTAGGGGCTTCTCATGAGAGTCAGGAGGAATATATGAGAACATTTAATCTTTTTATATAAACTTTAATTCTTACAATCTAAGCATCAAGGAGACACAGAGACATTTCTATCACCTATATCTATCTATCTATCTACCATCTACATACATATATATATGTATATATATATAGAGAGAGCGAGCACTCACAAGCTCCCATCCTGTGTCACTCTCCAGATATCCACAATGATCAGCTAGGCAGAAGCTAGGAGCTGGGAACTTAACCATGGTCTCAGGTGGGTGGCTGGGCCCCAGAATCTTCAGCCATCTCTGGCCAACTCCCAGGGTGTGCATTAGCAGGAAGCTGGAATGGAGAGCAGAGCCAGCTCAAATCCCAGCACTCCTCTATAGGGATCCTCGCACAGCTTAACTGCTAGGCCAAAGGCCTGCCCCCACAGGAACCTGTGAGGGAGGAACTGTTACTACTCTAGTTTTATTGATAAGGAAACTGAGGCACATCTGGGCTACTCCGGTTAGAGCTTGTCCTTTGTTTTATAGAGGGACTGAAAACTGTAGGTAAGTCAGACACGTTAGTTCCAAGAGAAAATGACTGTGGTTGCCTGATAAACCAGATGAAGGAGAGCCTTTGCCTGTTTAGTGAGTGAGGAAAATGCTGTCAGAGTAAAGCCCTGGGGCCTCAGGGCACTTGCAGAACTGGTTCCACGATGGCTTGCTAAGAAATGCTCAGGAATCTGGTCTGAGACGCTCCCTGTAACCTACCGCTTGGGGCAAGGACCTGGAGGAACCCAACAGCTCAACCCACATTTTAACTAATGGAGTCCTTGCATATCTGCTTAAAAGACACAGTAGGGGCTAGAACTGTGACACAGTGAGCTAAGCTTCTGTCTGTGGTACTGGCATGCCATATGGGTGCTGGTTCGAATCTGGGCACTTCTGATCCAGTTCTCTGCTAATGACCTGGGAAAACAGTGGAAGATGACCCAAGCTCACGTGGAAGAAGTGTTGTACCCAGATTTTGAGATCCCCAGAAATCATCAGGAGTCTGAAGTCGATGCAAACGCATAAGGGCAGTTTATTCAGGTCAGCCTAGGCTCCCAGCCATCACCCAGCCCAGTGGGACTGGGGAGAGAGGAGCAGCAGCTGAAGCAGAAGGGGCAGAAGGGCCCAGGTTGGACAGCACAGGGTTTTTATACACTTCAGGCCAATTCCACACAATTCCACAGTCATGACTGGTCAGTTTAACTGTTAACTTTTAAAAAGAGCAAATTGGCAGGCTTTTATTGGTGGGTTTGAAGCAAGCAACTTTCAAATGGTACAAACTAGTGGACTGTGGGGTAGAGGGCAAGTCTTATCTAACATCAGGGGCCTCCTTCCTGAGGAGTGCTCTGCCTACATGACCTGTCAGATGTCACATAGACTGTCAGGACTGGAGTTCACACAGCCCCCAGCCAAGCAAGCAAAGCAGAAATCATAAAAGCAGAAAGCACTGAGGCTCCTCTGAAGCTCTTGACATTCGGCATTGGACCAGCCTAGTTCTAGCAGCAGTAGCCATCTGGGGAGTGAACCAGCAAATGGAAGAATTCTCTGTCACTCTTTCTCCCTTTATAACTTTGACCTTCAAATAAAAATAAGTATATATATATTTTAAAAGACACTAATAAATGTCAGTGATCAAACTGACTTAGAATCATGTGGAATGCCTTATTCTCTAATTATACCCAAAGGGAAAAAATGTAGTCCAGGAGACCCAAATAACATCTTGGGAAAATTTATGTCCGGTCTCAGTGCTCTAAATTAGACAGCTCTGACATGAAGCTCGCCTTGAAGTGTGGGAGCATCTGTAACAGGAGCAGGTGCTTGGCTAAAACATGAAGCAACAGTAGTTTACAACACAGTTGTGCTCCCAACTGCTGTAGGGATCCTCACACAGCTTAACTGCTAGGCCAAAGGCCTGCCCCACAGGAACCTGTGAGGGAGGAACTATTACTGCTCTAATTTTATTGATAAGGAAACTGAGGCACATCTGGGCAACTCCGGTTAGTGCTAGTCCTTTGTTTTATAGAGGGACTGAAAACTGTGGGTAAGTCAGACACGTCAGTTCCAAGAGAAACTGACTGTGGTTGCCTGATGAACCGCGTGAGCAAGAGCTTCTGTCCACTACAGAGACTCAACTACAGGTCTCTGGTGTTAGCATCCTGGCTGGTAGCTATGAGGATGCCCCAGACCCTTCTTGTGGTTCACAGTGGAGAAAATGCTGCCCCTTGCCCGCAGCCTCCCAGCATCCATCTCCCTGTCTCCTCCACTGGATGCTCTACCTCTACCTAGAAGCTGCAAACTCCAAAGATGCTGAAGACTCTGGTTGCTGCGGCTAGTTTCCTGAGGCAAGTAATCTGATAGGAAATTATGAATGGCAGACCTACTTAGATTTCAAGTTGAGAAGCCCAGAACTGGCACTTTTAAAATGTCTTAAGAAGTGAAAAATTACATGTGAAGAAGGAATTGAGAGCATTACTTGAGTACCGAGTCTGTCTTACCCGATACACCTGACTGGCCCTCACACCAGGCTCTCCTGGTTGATTTCACATGGCTTTCCAGTTTTCATTTCACAACAATGTGAAATGTGGTAAAGTGCAGTTAAGGCAGAATTGGAAGTTTCTCTTTCCCTCTCAGTCCTTCAGGAACAGAAATCTCTGATAGAGCTTTATAGAAAATGCTCATCTGTGCTGTCCAACACCACACTAGTTTGCATGGACTCCAGTGAACTTCACATGGGTCTCGTGCAACACAGGGACCGAATTCTTCATTGTACTAATTTGAGTTACTGTACATCAAATTCACCTCTTGTGACCGATGGCTACCATACTGATCCACACAGATCTAGAAAATGGTGTGACCTTGTATCAAGACAATCTAGGCTATGTCACAGCCACCAAGAACACCAAAGTCTGGATGGCTTATAAAAAGAACAGTTTGGGGCTTGGCAAGGTAGCATAGTGGCTAAAGTTGTCACCTTGTATTAGCCGGGAAGCGATATGGGTGCCAGTTTGTGTCCTGGCTACTACATTTCCCTTCCAGCTCCCTGCTTGTGGCCTGGGAAAGCAGTGGAGGGCGGCCCAAAGCCTTGGGGCCCTGTGCCCACGTGGGAGACCTGGAGGAGGCTCCTGGCCTTGGATCAGCTCAGCTCTGTTGTAGCCACTTGAGAAGTAAACCAGTGGTCAGAAGATCTTTCTGTCTCTCCTCTCTGTGATATCTACCTTCCAATAAAAGGGGACTGGGATTGCAGCATAGTGAACAAAGCTGCTGTCTGTGCCGCTGACATCCTATACAGGTGCTGGCTTGAGTTCTGGCTGCTCCACATCTGATCCAGGGCTCTGCAACTGTGCCTGGGAAATGTAGCAGAGATGTTCCAAATACTTGGGCCTGTGCACCCGCATGGGAGACCCAGATGAAACTCCTAGTTTAGACATAGCTCAGCCCTGGCCATGGCAGCTACTTGGGGAGTGAACCACTGGACCTCTCTCTCTTTATGTCCCTCCTTCTCTCTCTGTAACTGTGACTTTCAAATATTCTTTTTTTTAAAAAAGGAAAAAAAGTTGAACATTAATGGTGAGATATTACTTTTTTTCCCAGAATGCACTATATAACTATAAAACCATCTGACTTTTAACAGCACGTGTTGGATTCTTTCGAGAACATTTGAACATTCCCAGACAGAAGCAAGTCAGACTTCCTATAAGGCAGGAGTGAGTATTCTGACAACACATTCTACAGTACCAAGACAGGGGGAAAATCCACTGGCTACCAGAACCCCCAGTCCCAAGCAAGGACCCATAACTCATCTTCAGGAGGGTGGTGGCTTTGCTGCCTGTAGGAAAATTTCACTCAAAGCCCTGAGGCTGCAGAATGCAATGGTGCCAAACGGATGCTCAAGGCAGCTTTTGGACTCAATGTGTAAGTCAGACACCTGCACCAACGAAAGCAGGTGAAGTCATTCTGTCTCTTCAGAAAGCACAGCCAGAATCACCCATCCCCCTTGCACCCCCCACTGGCACAGCACAACGTCCTCTGTTTGCAGGATGCATCTGTGAGTTCTACAAGTGGTGTCAGGGAAAGAGAACAAACAGCATGCGCTGTGGTAATCCTTTATTTAAAAATAGTGCACTAGCTACAGTCATAGTGTTCTCATCTACCATTCTGACGGCATAATAAACAGGAGAACATGGACACAATTTCAAAAAAGCGTTAACCTGTAAACACGCATATATGTCACACACACACACACACACACGGGACATACACGCCCACAAAGTTTATAGTCTAAACATGTTTAAGTGATGAAAAAAACATTTGCTCTAAGTCAAATTAAAATCCTTTATTATAATAAATGGTGGCAATACTGTGGCTATTATGAAAAAATAGCATAACTTTAAAAAGCAGAAAAGAAAAAAAATACTGGCAATTTGACACTAGCAGCACAAAGCAGATAAAAATAGAAGATAATGTAAGACTAAGTAATATCAAGATTCTAATGCTGATACTGTGTAGGATTGCACTGAAATCATTTCAGATTGGTTCTTAAGGAACTAATAACTAGTCCCTTGAAATATTAAACTGTGTCACTTCCAACGGTGGAAAAGAAAAAAAAAATACTTGGAATGTCACACACACACACACGCGCACACACACAGAGGAAATGTATTAGGCATATCAATTGATGATCTTTGTTCATGACCTTCAGCAAATTATAAAGAAAAAAGTTTAAGTGCCAATGTAGTGAAAATTAAAAATTCCTAAAGATGCAAGTCTGAGTGCATTTGTCAGGCCTAAGATAATAATTCAAGGTTGGGGCAAGGCATGGCAGAGGCACATTCAAGAAGAAAATTAACAGTGGAACCCATAAGGCAGGCTGAGCTCTTTGGAGAGTCGAAATGAAGCTGCGTTAGACTCAGACTCTCCTGAAAGCAAGTCCAAAGTACGTGGAGTTCTACAGCTCTTCGTCAGCTGACATTGTTTTCAGAGTGGCCAATAAATAATGAAGACTAACTTTTCAGCCCACTGATTGTGCCTACGTTGAAATACATGTTTCTTCCACACCCACAGAGCTGACAGTGTAACAGCACAAACAGGAATCTTGGTTTAAGAAGAAAAAGCACGTTAGCAAGAATTTCTCCCCTCCAACCCCCATCGTGGCTACTTAGCCAACATGTCTGAAGCTTCCAGGCATTTGCTAAGATAGGGTGGGAGGGTATGTTTAAATTCCTACGGATGTTGGAAGAAAAGAGATCTTATTTTCCTAAGGAAGCCAGAGTCAGCCAAGAGCAGGGGCCTGTGTTTCAGAATCTGAGAGGCAGAACCAAAGTCCGTAGTGCCTAAACTCCTGACAAGTTCAGACCCGGAAAAATCTGCAGGTGCTCTAGGGAAGCGGTAAGGGAAATGTGAATGCCTGCAGGTTACTTTGGAGGGAAGCATATGTTGGAAATCAGGATGGCTCAACTGCTTTCAGAGTGAAGGGAAGCATTCCTGGTAAGGACGACCCAGCTGTCTAGAAGTGAGGGGGCCGGAGGGAGATGGAGAGAAGGAGAGGCCTTCCATCTGAAGGGACCCCTCTGTTGGGCTAACCGGGAGGGAAGGGGCTGCAGGGCCCAGACTCCTTCTTTACTATGGGCCTTCTTTTTCACAATTGGGTTCAATTGGGGGAATTTCTGATGGACCCCAGGAAAGTATCTCTTTCTAAAATGAATTCATCAGGCAAGTGTTCTAAATGAAATCCTGCTGCATAAGTATCCTAACTAAGGTACCAGCTAATTCAGATACTACTCTGTCTTGGCTGCTGCTGCTGAACAACGAACGATCACCGACCGCCCCCCACCCCCCCATGAAAATCTAACTAGAGAATTTACCACACTAGGTGCCTTTGCTAGCTGGAGTTGGTTACTTTGTTTGTTTGAACTTTAGAGAAATAGTCCTTTTACTATGACTTAAAAACTGCTTCCCCCTGTGTTTCACTCTTCCTCCTCTTCCTCCTCCCCTTCCCCTTCTCCTTCCTCCATGGTCTCCACGATGAGCTCTGCTGTGCAAGTGGCTTCGCCGAGACTGTTGACGGCCTTGCAGGTGTACTTGGCGTCGTCATCCCCGCAGACTTCGCTGATGGTTAAAGAGCAGTTCCCTTCCTCATCGTAGTCGATCTGGAAGTGGCGGGACTCCCGGATGGACTGGTCATCTTTAAACCAGACGACCTCAGGGTCTGGGTATCCTGCATCACAGTGGGAGAAACCGTTACTCTAATTTTTTTTCTTTTCTTTTTTTTTTTTTTTAGATTTATTTGTTTATTTGAATTAGAAGGAGAGTCCGTTTTTTTAAAGACTTACCAAATTTTCTTTTATAAAAGAGATTTGTCTATTATTTTGACAGAGAGATAAAAGAGTGAGAGATAGCACAAGTTTCCATGCACCGGTTCACTCCCTAAATGGCCACAGTGTTGGGTTGGGCTGGGCTAGGCCAGGTCAAAGCCAGGAGCCTGGAACCTCATCTGGGGTTTCCACTTGGGCTCTTTGGGCTGTCTCCTGCTGCTTCTTCACATTAGCAGAGAGTTTGATTACAAGTGGAGGGGTGGGAGTTGAAGCAGTGCTCTGACAGGGGAGGTCCACATTGCAAGTGGTGGCTTAACTGCCATGCCACAATGCCAGAGCATCAGACTTCCTTACCCATGCATGCAGATAAGCCTTAAGCTACTGCTAATCGTTATGGGGGGGGGGAGGGGAAGGGGGTCAAAGAGAAAAAGAATAACGTTGGCTTTTAGCTTCTGTCTTGATACCCACACTAAGATTATGGGTGTGTATTGTGAATGCCAGCATCTGAATCCCCAAATAAGGTACTTTAAAGCTTCCCATTTCCCACCCATGTCACAATGTACCATTTACCCTTCTCCTTAGACACACACAGAGCACTCACTAAAATACCAGGCTGAGTAGAGGCAGATATTTGGCCTTGCTCTTCATGTACTGCCTGGCACACCTGTGGCCCGGTATGCCTACATAAGGGTCAGGCCAGGCTGAAGCCAGGTTCTGAGAACTCAACCTAGGTTCTTTCCTGTTGCATGGCTAGTAAGCAACTTTCTGAGCCATCACCTGCTGCCTCCCAGGGTCTGTCATGAGCAGGAAGCTGAAATAGCAGGAGGAGCTGGGACTGAAACCCAGGCACTTGGCTCCGGGTCTCTGGTGTCCAACGTGTGGCTTAAAGCCCCAGGGAAAAGCCTGCCTTGAGTTGTGCTTTTATCAGAACAGCATCCAGGTTGCTTTCAATTCCTACCCCATGCATGCCTCCTGCGCAACCTCCAGTCAGAAGTTAGACACCAAGGGAAACTGTCTCAGGGAGAAAAGTAGTTGCAAGTAATAGCTACTGTGTTAGGATTGCAGACATTAGAAGAGGAAAGAACCTCAGACGACCCAGGCAGCGGTGAGGGTGACAGCCACACACAGGCTCTCAGAGTCCCCAGCCTCAGCTTTCAGTGGCAGTGCACCCACTTCTGTTTTTAATCGGCTGAGCACATTGGCACAATGCAGAAGGCAGAGCATTTTACAAGGTCTTTTGGTGACACAGAGCCTCCTGTTGGAATCTCTTCCCCCAAGGGCTCTCTGCCCACTGCCCTGTGCTGGAAAAAGTTGCTGAATCATCTCCCGGCTTTATTTGGTCAGACTGAAATGGGAGCTAACCCACGACTCTGGTTGGCACTTTGAAAGGTACAGACTTTACAGCCAAAAGGCCTGGCTTATCTTGCCCTTTATCTTCAGAGAGCGTGGCAGTTTCTGGAAGTTACAGGGCTTGTGTGCTATGAACTGTGCTCATTTTTTTGGAGGAGTGTGGGGAGGGTGTGTATGCTAAGATCCCTTTAAGGCTCCTGAGCTGTCAACATGCACAGTCATCTGGTTGTATCATTCCTGGCAGGTGGGGAAGCCACAGGGAAGGTGGCACATGGTGTGGCATGTCCCAGGCACCTGGGTAGGACTTACCCAGTGTCTAGTCATGCGCCCTCTCTCTGCACTTTGCTATGCCGCTGACTTCCTTCTCTCTCTGCCTTTTGAAAAGACAAAGTTTGCTCCCCTTTTCACAGCTACGATTTGAGTGATGGCTGTCATCTCACCTTGGGAGGGGTGACTCGCCACCAAGGTTACCCTGGCTTGTAGACCAGAGTGAGCAGAGGCGCTGATGCCACACCCCAGGCTTTTGTGCCAATTTTGTGCCTCTGGTGGCTTCTTGTGCACCATTCACGTTTTTCTCAAAACACTCCTGGGTCTAGCGGGAGGTGTGAGGGGAGGGAATGTGGCTTTCCACGGTCAGCTCCTTCTGACCCAGTTTTCCTCAGAGCTGGCCGTTCCCACTGTTCCAGCCTGCAGGGAACTGGACACTTGGCCCAGGGCACAGGGCGGGGCCCCCAGCACCCAGCCCGGCCTGGCCACAAACTCACCTTCGATCTTGCAATCAAATCGAGCAGCGCTGCCTTCCACCACCTCCAGATCGCGAATGGTCTTAGAGAAATATGGCTTCACGTGTGGCTTTTCCTCAGCGACAGCCTCCAGGAAAGCTTGGGAGACATCTTCTAGAAGACATACGGAAGGTAGCCAGGTCATTTCTCGACTCTAATCTCTCTTCCTTGCATTCCCTACTAATTTGAGAGAGCTGCCTTTTTTTTTTTTTTTAAGAAGTTGCTGTTATTTAGTAAATAATGCCATTTAGAGATCTGAATCATAAACTTGCCTTTCTCCTGAGGATGGCTTGAAGAAAGAACTCTGCCGAAACCAAGACACTGTTCTGTCATTCACCCTCCCCCCAACTTCCTTTCTGCTGACACATTGCAAAAGGCAGTCATCTTTCAAAAACATTTTTGGCTGCACTTCATGCTGCTTCGGGATTCAGCTGAGGGTATCTGGGAGGACAGAACCTCAGTAGCTTTCCTGTTTGGGTGTCCCTTGGCTACCTTCTGCAGCATGTCCTCTAGGTAGGACTTCTTAAGAAGGAGATGGATTTTAGAGGCATCCCTAACTACTTGTCCATAATTGTGCCCCCATGCCCACACTGCCTTCAAGACATGAAACTGGTGCAGGGCAAAAATATAACTCGGAGAGGTTCCTGTGTCCCCTCACTCCATTTGAGGTCACTTTTGGGTCACCTGGGGGAGTGACAGGAGTGGCTCAGCAGACACCAGGCCATGTGCTGCAGCCTCTGCCCACCCCGATCCCAGCCACAAAGTAGTAGCAGAATAGCCAGCTGCTGGCCTTGCCCATAACCCTGCCTTTGTGCCACTGAAAGGATTAGACTCAATTTCTCACCTGTGGATCTTAATATCACCAGGCAGTATAAGACAGAAGTGGTCTCTGGCCAGAAGAGGCCCCCCATGCAGACAAAGGCTGGACCCTGCTTGCACATGTGGCTGGGATAAGTTGAGATGGATGAGGTAGCATCTCAGAGATAGCAGCTACAGGCACTAATGCTACGGCCTCCAAGAGGAGCCACGCCAACCCTTATCTTCCCAGTTCAAATGACATGTTCCAGCTGCGGGAACAGTGTACAAAAAAATTACAGGGAGTCTTTGCAAAGTTCATGGGAACTGCATGTTACAAAGAAAACCATGCGCTGGACTTCTAATGTCTTTTGGTGTCAACAATAAATTTCTTTTAATTCCATTTGAAATGAGCTTGGAGAAGTGCCTTGCTATGAACCCTGTGAGCTAAATTTCTGAGTAAAAGACAGAACACGGGAGGAGAGTAGCCCTATCCTGCACGGCATGTGGCTTGGTTTCACTTGTGCCTGTCGGTATTTCAGGGTCAATTCTGCGATAAGAGGAGGCTTTTTGTCAAACCTTTGTTCTCATCCCAAGCTCAAGGGGAAAGAAAAACTCAGGTCATTTATTTCTGTGAGATAAACAATAACGGTTTCTCTGAAAACAAGTTAAACAGCAAAAGGACAATTATTAGACATGGTTACTGCTGTCAGGGTAAAGAGGAAAAAAAAACCCTCTGAATTTATTCTTGTAGGGTGCATTAGAGAGAAAGAGAGAGAGAAAAAGAGAGAGAGAGAGAAAGAAAGAAAAGGAAGAGAAAAGAAAAGAAAGGAAAAGAAAAGAAAAGAAGAGAAAGGAAAACCCACAAACCGCTGGCCCTTTTGGTCACCCCTTCACTCCCGCTGGCCTCTCAGCTCCTTACCTTCTGTTTCAAGTTTCTCTGTGTTGAGTGGGCTGGTTGGTGATCCCGTGGAGGATTTCCTGCCGCTGAGCCCTGAGATCATTGCCATAGAGGACAGTCTTCCGATGGCTCTCACAGCATTGCCCGTTTTCTAGAAAATAGATGCTGAGGTTGGATTGGGGTGGGGGTCCCCAGCTGCAGCTGGGCAGTGCTCAGAGGGGGGCTCCAAGGAGCAGTGCCTGGTCCCGGGGAGCGAGCAGTGAGCCCAACCTCGCTGCACAGAACACTCTCAGCGGGTCAGAAGATGTTCGGAGAATGGAATGGGGCCTGGAACTGATGTGTGCGTTAATGTGACTAAACAAGGTCAACATGAGACAAAAACCCTTTTCATAGTGTGCTTCAGCTCCCATAAAAGGGATAGTTTATATAAAGCAACTGCAGGCTGAGACAGCTCCAAAGACTTATTGCTGACCGGGCCCTGCGGGTGCCTGTTTCTTGTAAAACAATGCCAGTGACAAGGCTGTCAGGGGTTGGGAGAATAGTTCTTCTTGAGCTCTGCAAGTCTTGGGGCAGCATTGAGGCCAAGCAGTCCCCTGATCCTGGGCAAGTCCGAGGGGTCTCTCTGGGCTTCCGTCCTTCTCTGAATGAAGATGGGAGTTGGACAGAGGGACCCGATTCAATTTATGATCCGGATATTTCAAGAGGTTCTGCCAATTCCCCTGGCTGGTCCCCAGGCTGAGTCCATGACCGCTAGGGGGAAGTCTGAGAGAATGGGCCCCCTCCTCTGTGGACAACTCAGGCACCCCAAAGAAATGAAAAGCCAAGAGGTACCCAGCTCTTCTCAGACTGGGTGGCATGGAGAGGACGGATCTCTGCAGAGAAGGATTGGGACTTGAGCTATATAGTTTCTTGCTGTTGTGAAAATCCTACCACGCACAGGGGTGAGGTGGCGAGATCCCCAATAATGCACAGCTGTGTGTCTCCTCTCACCTAGGTTTTCCGTCCCCTACCCTTTTATCCTGCAGTCAATAGGAATGGCTGAAGAAAGCTAAGGCATAACCAAGTATGCCTATTCCTGCACAAAACATCTTTGACAGGCACAAGAGACTGTGGCCCTCTGAGAGCAGGTGTTCCTGCAGGCTGACCAACCACCTTCCCAAACAGGTTGGACAGGGCCTGTGCTTGCTCACTGAACCTCCAAACCTAACCATGCCCTCCCGAGTTAGCTCTGCACACTCCAGCCAAAAGACAGAGTCTTTTAAAAATAAAGAATGCCTGGGGACTAAGGTACCACACAGAGAATTGTGCACGTGTGTAATGTGTGTGATTTAAAGGGCCCTGTTGCAGCAACCACCACACATGTACATATGTGTGTGTGGGTGGGTGTGTATAATTTAAGGGGGCCCTGCTGTGTAAGCCAGGGCCCCCTTAAATCATATAAAACAATAAAGTTTTTCAGTTACTATGCATCTCCTGTTTCCTTGCAAACTCTTATGTTTCACCTTAGACACTCACTCCTCCTCACCCTGGCCTTTAGCCATCAACCTTCACACACATACAGAACCCGATCAAAGCCCAGGGAACGCCTGGTGGTGGAGATGAGGAGGAAAAGTTGGCAATCCAGTACCTAACTGATCAGTCACCTCAATTCTGTGCAGGTTGTGAGCGTGGTGGCCCTATGGAGACCACCCTGGGCCAGGCTGCTGCTGGGGGCTCCTTGAGGTGTTTGCTGTGCTAACTGAAGCCTAGAGAATCCGCTGGAGTTTACACTGCCCTTAGGTGCTGGGAGAGGTGGCACCAGCCGCAGCATCCACCTGTTCCCCTCCCCTCTACGATGGGAGTTGGAGGTAGCGGCTAGACTCTTGGACTCTGCCTATCATCCATCCAGTGCAGACTGGCCTGCCCTGGGTTCACTCCCAACAAAGGTGATGTGAGTCCTCCGACCCCTGACTGCTCTGTGACCCTGTGCAGGTCATCATACTTCTCTCCAGGAGTCAGTGCTGTCGGACCGGATGATCTTCCTGCATCTTGGGACTCTGCCAGTAGGACAAGGATTCCCGCACAGGGAAGCCCAGTAGGGAACTGCACTCTTCCAGTCCTTGGGGATCCCTAATCCCACACAGCTGGGTCAGGACTGTCTTCTTCTGTGCCATACACAGAGTTAATGACTTTTCTTGGTTTGATTTTTTAGAACAAAATGACTCAAATGGAATTATCTGAATGAGGCAAACAAAAAGGATTTAACATTGCAAATATCTTAGATGCACAGACCTTGTCCAGGGGTCATTTTCCCACACATGGAGAAACACGGTGTATAATTTCTAAATTCTACAAGCATACAATATAAACAACACAGACATATTTTTAAGTAGTCTCTATCAGAATTCAATCTTTGGGACAGATTTGGTACGGGGGGGCATGGTTGGTGGGAGTGAGAGTGGGAATCGGTAGAGAAGTTATTTGAGCTAGAAGAGAAAGTGTTTTACTTACTAAGCTCTTTTGAGATTGTTTTGTACAGCCAAACAACAACATCCCAGAGCTCTAACTTCCATCCTGGTAGTGACAAAGCCTCTTTTTACTTGGAGGTTGATTGTGGGGATTGGGGTCCTGTGTTCCCAGCAGGTGGTGTCAGTCCCAGCCTCACTCATACAGGGCAGACATCCCGCACCTGCTGCAAAGACCCCCTAAGGGTGACAAACCACCCTGGCTCACCCAGGAACTTCAGGGTTTCCTGGGGTTAGGGGCTTTCATTGCTAATGTCCAGATGGTTTCTAGCACACAGGGCAACAGCCAGCCATGAGGAGCATTCACACATATCCACAGCTCTGGGAAGCACACCACATTCTCCTGCCACGGCCTAGGATGCTCTGTGCAATATCGAGTTGAGGGCTTTAATCCATAGCCCTTGATTGCATGCTGTCAGAGTGCATGTGGTTCCCAGAGAAGAGCCATGCTGTCCGCTGACCTCCCATCCACTGGCTTTTGCTTGCAGTTTGCATGCACAAATCCTGCCCATTCTACTTAGCGGTTCCTCTCCAACACGCCCTTGGGAAATTATCAAAGAATTTTCTAATAGACTTATCCATACCAAGCCTAACCTTGCCTAGAGCAATTCATACCTCCTAGGGCCTTGGATGAGAACAACCAGATGCCTTCCCACATGCTGCTATAGAATGTTCTGGGCCACTTACGCCTGCTCTTCCCTTCTTCCTTCAGCCTAGATCACCCTACTTTGTGCTATTCCACTGCAGCCTGACCTAGTGTTTGGAAGCTCAGTCACTCAGAGAAGGGATCCCCTATCTTGGGGTGGCTCGGTTAGCACAGAGAAAACCCTTTCCTAAGGAAACAGCATAGAAGGGTCTGACACAGTGGACTACTACAGGTAACAACATGCTTCAAGATTACCTGCTTTGTGACATTGTGTGAACTCCATTTGTGCGTGTTTTTGTGATTTTTGTGTTTCTGTGTTTGCCGGTTTTTTGTGGAAAACTCATCTCCAGATGTGTCACCTTATACTAAAATAAGGAATTAAGGTTCCTTCTCTAAATGCTATCCTTTCCTGCACCACCTACCACCCTTCCAGAACAGTCCTGTGACTAATAACACCATGAACATCAGCAACAAAAGTCGACATTATGAATGGACCAGTGCCAATCAGCATTCCCTGGCTTATCTGGATGACGGAGTCTACTCACTTCCTGCTTCATTTCCTTCTCCGCTCTTGTTCCCTGGGATTGAAGTGTCTCCACCTGCAAATCCTCCAGGGCCAGCCGGGTGCCATTTAGCTCACAGTCTCCCCTCAGCACAACCCCGTTAGACTCCCCACTCTGAGAACTGCCATGCCCCAACACCAGCCATCCCAGAAGCCTTTGAGACAGAGTGGTTGGCAAAGCCAACCTTTGCTCTTGTAGCACCTCCTTTTCTCTTTTCTACAGATTTGCTACTCTGTTCCCTGCTGGTGACAGTGGTATTCCAGCCCACCCTGCATATGAGGGTTCCCATGAGACCGCTCCATCCCTTCACACAGGTGTAGCTGGGAGGAGCTTCACACAGCTCTAGCTGGGAGGCGCTGCAATGGTGAACCCTGGGCCCTCAGCCACCTTGCTGCCTCCTCCTTCCTGTGTGCAAAGTTTGCTTTTCAAGGGAACTGTGTTTAGTCCTCCCATGTGGCAAAGGATGGGTGTCCCAAGCAGCCTCTGCCAACAATGATTTCCTTTGTCTCAGCCACCCTGGAAAGGCCCTGCACCCCAGCTAAGAGGCTTTGTGGACCTACGTCCAGTTCCTACACAAGGGTGGGGGTGGGGGGGACAGTTTCCGTCACTGTGCCTACTCCTCCCCCTGTGTGGCTGTCCCCTCTTCTCTGGCTTCTGGCCCCACATTCTGTGCTGTTTTAGCCCCAAACTCCCGGGAGCTTTCGCCATAGCCACGTCACTGCTGGCTGTAGCTGGCTCTGCTCTCCTGCCCACACTCACATGCTCCACATGTAGGGACAGACAGCCACACGGGTGGCTTGAGTCTTGGTGAGTTTCATTCCCTCTGATGGCTGCTTGTTCACTCTAGAGATTCCCAGAGGACAGAAGCTGGGCCATCTCAGTAGGCCAGGAACCTTGGGATACTGATGGAGGCAACTGAAACTATAACACAGACAATGGCAGTGATAACTACACTGTGGTTTAGAATGATACTTTCACCTATCCTGTTATCACAGGCAGTTCCAGAATGTTCCAGAACCAGGCTCCAGATTTGAAAATCCTGAATCTACTCACTACCTGTATGATCCTGGTTCTCTTCCCCAACCTTTTTCCTGCCCCAGTTCATCTGTGATGTGGAGTTAACATTCCTTGCTTCTCAGACTCTACACGTGAACAAGGTCTCGACTGGCCCCTGATGCATGGCCAGCCTTCAGCCCACATCAGCCACAGACATTGTTAGGGAACACTCACCCTGTACCAAGTGCTCGCACTGAAGATGACATGGGAATGCTCTCCTATCATGAAGACATCATTCTTACAAGGAAAGGGAGTTGGTACTGCCATTATCCCCACTTTCCAAGTGAGGGGACAAAACTACGGCAAGGGAGAAGAATCACTTCTCTTGATGGCCATGCTACATAGCTAGTAGTATGACACAAACCCCCCCTTAGTTGGGGGCTATGCATCCATCTTTTTGGAACATGCATCCTCCTTGTCCATGGTAAAAGAGTTTAAGACCACCAATGTTACCTGAAAGGACTTGTAGTCTGTGGTCACTCAGCAGACCTCAAGCTGGTGTTGTTCAACCTTCGCCACAAAGAGCTGAGATACCAGAAGCTTAAACTGGGTGAGTGAAAGGTGGCACAAGACCTAACTGACAGACAAAGCTGGGCAGGACCAGAAAGACACTGTAGCCTGAGCAAGGGACTTAGCACAGCAGGGGACCTGGGTCACTGGCCCAATTGGTCCCCGGATATTTCAGCAGAAGATATAAGCATTCTCAGATGCAGGCGGGGAGAGCTGGGAAGGACAGTGGCTCAAGCAGAGCCACCTGCGTTACCTGCCATTTCCGTCTCGCCATGTACTTCTTCATCCGGTCCTTAGAGAGCTTCTTGGCCTCCATGTTCTTGGTGTCCTTCATGAGCCACGGGTGCTGCAGGCACTGTGTGCAGTTCAGGCGGTTTCTGATGGTGGAAAGACATCAGCGGGTTTCTGAGCTGAGGACCTACACAGACACCTCTGGACAGACTGCAAATGGTGGTGGTGCTGGGTGTGTGGCTCCCGTTTCCATTCACACAGGGCAGAGCTCACAACTCCTCCCCTCTGGCTTGTGTACTAGGCTCAGGAACACAGTCCTTTCCACTGTGTTCCCTTCTATCTGGGTGGACCCAGAAATGCTCAGCGCCAGGAGGCTTAACCATGATGGGGTAGGTGTTGCTGGGCACACGTGTCCTGGAATGGCTGAAACCACAGCTCAGGATGGGGTTGTTCTGCTGGCCACATGGGGGCCAGTGTCTCTCCAACTGGAGGAAAGAGAAGTTAAATACAAGGATGAAACCTGTGCCATCCACTCACCTCTCAGTCTTGTGGTGAGGCTGAGCCATATCAGCACTTCTTGTGGCAATCCATAAGGGTACACCCTATACATGACCTGTGCTTTGACAATCCTGACCCTGAAACTCAGCTAGGCTTTAAGGAGGCTCAGGGCCATCACCTTCACTGTAACAACTCAAAGGATCAAATACCAGGGGCTGGTGTGATGGTTCAACTCGCTAATCATCTGCCTGTCATCCCATACGGATGCCAGTTTGTGTCCTCATTGCCGGCTCCACTACTTCCAATCCATTCCCAGGCTTATGGCCTGGGAAAGCAGTGGAGGATGGCCTGAAGCCTTGGGCCCCTGCACCTGTGCTGAAGACTTGGAAGAGGTTCCTAGCTTCTGAGCTGGCTTTGGATCTGCTCGGCTCTGGCATTGCAGTCATTTGGGGAGTGAGTCAGTGGGTAGATTTTCCTCTTTCTCTCCTTCTCTCAGTAAATCTGCCTTTCAAATAAAAATAAATGAATCTTAACAAAAGGACCACATACCAAATACATAACAAGTCACCCACAGCACAAAATGGTGAGCAAGAAGCATAGCTTCAGAGGAAAGGATTGTGGGTGACTGACATTTTCTCATAGTCTTCAAATATTCCATAGTTTAACACATATTGCTTTTATAATTTGAAAAGATTGAAAAGGGTACTGAAATGTTCAACTTCTGGTTGAACATCTAATGTCTTATCTATTTCACTAATACCCATTCTTTGGTGCTTCCATTTAAGAACGGAGAGCATCAGAGAATGAGGGAAAGTTGTGTGTGATGCAGGTGGTGCTGGTGGGGGGAGGGCAGGAGAGAGCAAGAATGAGAGAGAGAGATTTTCCATTCTCTGGTTAGCTCCCCAATGGCTGTAATGATCAGGGCTGAACCAGGCCAAATCCAACACCATGGAATTCCACTCTGGTCTTCCACATGCATTGTGGTGGTCCAAGTACTTGTACTGTCATCTGCTGCTTCCCAGGCACATTAGCAAGCAATTGGATTGGAAGAGGAGCAACCTGAATTCAATCTTGTACTCTGATGGGGGATGCTGGTATCACAGTGGCAGCTTAATCCACAGTACCACAGCATTGGCCTCTGGTGGCTTCATCCTATGAGTACAGAGTGGCCCAACATAGACTGTTCCTGGATAAATCCAAAGTCTGAGAAGAAACTCATGAGAATATGTGTGATCTTGTTTTCTCAGTCCTCAACAAAGGAAGCCTGGTTTCCATCCTTGAGGTCAGAGCTATTAGCAAGAAATTGTCACCTTGAAAACATGGGACCCATCACAGTGCAAGGGAGTAACACCACCCCCATCTCGACCCTCCTTGGGTCACAATGACTTCTGACATGAAGACTATGATGGCTCTGAGGCCTTGTGGACAAGATGTGGGTGACCTCTAGCACCAAGTGCCCCTGAGATGGCTACAAAGGACCAGGGATGTAGGTAGGGGAGAGAAAAGTCAGCTAGAGCCAACCAGGAGACACCAGCTCCTAATTAAGTGGCCAAGCTCTCTGGTCTCAAAGAACGCTTCCCCCAGTTGGGGGAGCTGCAGCCACGGAGGGCTGCAAAGTCACCTGCCTGGCCCTGGAGATGGGCTGCCTTCCTGATCTCTGGAATGACACCATGTGGCCTCCCTTCCCAGATAAGGCTATAGTGAGCCCTATTGGAGCCAAACTCCTAGAGCCTTGCCTCACCAGTCACCTACTGGCAGAACAGGCGAGGTACTCAGCCCGAGGATTGAGGGCCTCACCTGACTTCCCCACAGTGTCTATCTGCTGGGTAGATGTCCCTCAGGACACAGAGTCCTTCTCCCAGCTTTTGGCTTTCATGTATCAGATTCTTCTTGCCACCAGTCTCAACTCTTTCAAGACTTCAGCCCCCCTTACCTTTATGCTGGGACCCTCTGGGCCCAGAAGCCCCCTCTCTTCACCCATGGACCTATATATGCTGGCCTCCACTGTTCACCTATGTTGTCTATATTTGCCTACTTAGTTTGTGTAGGCAGAGGTGGGGGAGGAAGTGTGGGGGTTGCCACAGCTTCACTCTGGCCAATGACAGAAACAGCTGGTCACACATGATCAGGCCATTCTTAAATCATTTAAAGATGGAAAACTAAAACCCTACCAGGCCAGAACCCTAGGCACACCCGATGAGGATCCACAAATAGGCTCTCAGCTTGCCCCTGTGCCCCTCTAGTCCCAGCTCCTACGGTGGAGAAAGGATACCCTCTGCTACCTAATGGGGTGGGTAGGGGCTTCAGTCACCCCAAGAAAACAAGGGGGTGCCTTGCTTCAAACAAGGTTTGTGAGCAGCTGAGTTGGACACAGAGCAGGGCCTAGCTAAGTTGCTCCTCCATCTCCCTGCCAACACATACACACACACAGAGTGGGATCCTGGCTGCACCCACCTAACCCCTCCTCGAGGACCCGAGGGACCAGGATTGGAGGTAGTCCAGGGTAGGGAAACCCCAGCAAGAGAAGGAGAGCCCAGCTCCCTCCCCCATCCCCGCACCAGGAAGCCAAGACTAGTCTGATCCGAGCATTACTTCATGTCTTTCTTCAGCAAGCTGCTGATGAAATCCTTGGCGTCCTCAGAAATCTCATCGAATGCCTCATCGTCGAAATCCCAGGTGGCGGAGGTCACGTTGGCTAAGGTCTCATTGTCGTTGTCCCCCATGAAGGGGGAGAGCCCGCTGACCCTGGGGGATGAAAGAAGAGTCAGAATCAAAGAGAGGGCAGCCCTGGCACCTACTTTCCCCGCCCCCTCCAACTCCAGCCAGGCAGCCCTGCCTTCCCTCCCTGCCTTGCCCCCACACACATGCTCTTCTTCGTTGCTCATAGTCCATTGGGTCTTCGCTTGCCCTTCAGTGCCGCCCACCTGCTGTATTGTGCTGAAGAAGTCTAATTTCTCTTACAGACCTCTGAGTGGTCCATGGCAGGGCTGAGAAGCCCCTTTGGTCACTATTTAGGCAGGCAGTGGCCCCTTCTAGAACATTCTCCAGATCCTCCTCACCCTCCACCCCATGCTCCTGCTCCTTCCCTGACCTAGGCAGCATCGCTACACCTGTCTCGCTTTCTTTAGGCACGTTGACCTCTGAGGAGAAGGTAGTGCAGCTATCAGGCAGGCTGGACAGCCGGGCTAAGGGTCAGACCTTGGGGCCCAGGGCCTCAGTGGTTTCCGCTCAGCTGGACAGCTGCCCCTTGAGGGACTGTGGCAGGGGAAAAAGCCTCTTTCTTTGCTGGGCAACTGTTAGCAAACTCCTTAATCTCTGGGTCACAGACCCTCATTTTGAAACAGAGAAAATTTCTCCTCACCCTCCAACTAAGTTGCAGGTGGTCCCTTCATGCTGGTCCCAGCCATCTACCACCTGCTGGGCACTGGGTAGAAAGCTCAGAGTAGCTACACCCTTTTCATTTTCACCTGCCTGGAGCACAAGAGAAAGGCACAACCTGGCCAAGGACTCACAGGAAGCGACATTTGTACACAGGCGTCTGCTGTTAGAGCCTGTCCTGTTAGCTGCCACTTCCTGCTGGCATTACTACCGATAGTGGATGAGTGACAGTGCATGGCACCTCCAAGCTGATCAGGCTCTGTAATTAGAACTGCTCAGTGGCCTCCTCCCAAGTCCTTATGGGTTCATCCCACATATATTTATGCAATATATGGCCAAGAGTTGCCTGGCATTTGAGAGACAGGTCCCCGTTTATGGACTGCACCCATTCTCGAACCCGGAGTTAGGCAGAACAAGACCCACTGGAAATCCTGGGAGAAAGCTGGCTGTGGGAGGAACGCTGTGGGTAAAACATTGGTCCAACGTGACACACTCATAATTTGAGTGGAAGATTCTTGCTAATAGCATTTCTTAGAGCAAGATGTTGGTTTGCATTTTATGAAGGCAAAAGAGAGGATGTTTTGCCTGTTTTTTCCCAGGAGGCGAGGTTGGTCCTGTGCTCCTCCTTCCCCTTCTCCCCGTCCCTGGCCTCCGTTAGCCCTCTCAGGAACCTCATGAGACCTTCAGACAGGATGAGATCTCCCAGGGGGACTCCGCCCTTGCCAGCCTGAGTGGCCTCACTGGCCCTGTCCAGGAATACCGGGTCTCCTGCCTGTCAGCTGTGTGCTGTTCTCCATCCATTTTCCACTGGAAGCCAGAGAAGGAAAGTCCTGCCCGGCCCCCACACCTCCTCCTCCAGATGACACGGCAGGAGGAGCAAGCAACCTCGCTGTGGAGTGGAATGCTGCCAGCGCCCCCTTGTCAGGTTCCTGTCCTAATTAGGAGCTGTAATCCTGCAAAGATAGGCTTTAATCTCCTGCCTCTGCCTTGGTGCTCCTCCTCCTCCTGGCAGCCCATCCGTCAGGAACGTCCCCCTCTCCCCCTCTACACACACGCCCCAGCTGGCTCCCCGCCTGCCTGCAAGAGTACCCCAGCCTTCTCTCTGGTAGGCAGCACATCTCTGGAGTAAAACCTGGAGTCTGGGGAAAATGGAATGAAAAGATCAGCTTGTTTTGGGGGGCACTTTTGCAACCCATGCAATATGAAGGAATTTGCGCTAAGAGACAGTGATGCAGAAGCTCCCAAACTGCTTCGTTCTGTAATAAGTGTAATAACTGTAATAAGTGTTTATGGCTCCCTCCTTCCAAGGGGCTTTCTAAGGCACCCATGTGTGTGCATGGCGTGGTGGCGGAAGACAGCGTCTGCATTTTCAGTCATGCTGTTTCTCAGTGATAGGATCTGACAGGATCCCATAAGTTTTCTCTTTTGCACATTTTCCATATTTGGTAGAATTTGCAAAAGGGATCATTGTGTGTTTTTACTGAAACAAAAAGAATTCACGATTTGCTAACAACAATCACAAAAAAGCATCCAACCCCCCAAATATAATCTCATTGGCACAAACACAAAGGTCCAAGTTGCCCCCCTTTTGAACCGAGGGATCTGTTTGGATTTCACAGCATCCTACTCGGCTCAGGCGGATCCTCGGACACGGAGCTGTGTCTGCATTTGCTATCTCAAGTGCAACTGGAGTCCGTTCGCCCGCTCACTTGGCTGGGCTGAATTCTGGCTTTGTGCTGCAGCGGCACAGGGAGAGTGACCACAGGGTGCTGGGATCCCTCAATCCTGAATGTTCCTCTGGCACACCTTCACCAGGGGAGCCGGGACCGATGCCTGCTCTCATCACAGAACATTATGTCAGGTTGGCTAAAGGCTGCAGACATCTCTTGCACAGCACTTCCTGTCTGTGGCCTTGCAGGTTACAGAGGGTCTGCTGTGCCACAGGTGGCTGGCTGAAGGGACCACACGTCTGCCTTCACAGCTGCTGAGTGCTCAGATGGACCTCGGCTTCCAGCCTGTTCTGGCTCTCCAATTCTCAGCTGTGAGCCTGGAGCAGGTTCGGTCGGCCTGAATGGAGGAGCTGACTATTATTTTGTGCCAACTACTGGCCCGGGCTTCAAGCCCTATAAGCCACAGCCTAGATCCCTGGGTGGCAAGGCCTGAAGTTGGTGGTGGCCAGGCCTGGCGAGGGAGCAAGAAGCCTGAGGTGGCAAGGTTGGAACCAGAGTGCAATGCCAGGCCTCCTCCTCCAAGCTGACCAGGCTCTGTAATCAGAACTGCTCAGCGGCCTCCCTGCCTCACACACCTCTCCTCTTCCATCCTGGTACCCCTGACCACACCACACATGGCACAGCATGGCTCTGGCGCTATGGGCCACTATGGGCATGCAGCACAGTCTGGGATGACATGGGGATAAGGAGGCAGGGGCTGCTTCTGGGTGTGCACGGGGCTGGGGTACATAGGGACAACAGGAGCTGGGGGCTGGGAGGAGGGCAGGGTTGGCAGAAACAATCCTGCCTCTCCATAGGCAACAAGGAAACATTGCTATCAGTTCCTGGGGGTGAGGGAGGAAGCAAAGGGGAGGATGCCTTTGAAAAGGAGGTGGGCCTGAATTTCTTCTTACTTGGAAATATGGCCTCTGGCTCTACCTCATGCTCTTTCCCTGCCAGAAGCCTAATGGGTCCTAGGAACCAAAGAATCCAACCCTGACCTTCAGGAGTGCAATGGCCAGGGGGCTCCACTGGCACTGCCCTGGCCTCTCAGCTCTGGGAACAGAGCTCCTCCAAGGATGCCAGGTATTCCAGTCTCCCGGAGGCGGCGGCTTGCGGCTCAGGAGTGATAGCAGCTGACATAGATGGGGGAGCAAGTGCATAACCTACCTGGCTTTCTCCCACTGGACCCGGGCCAGGAACTCAGCAGGGGTTCCGTGGCATCCAGGATGGCCAGGCAGGCCATCAAGGTACACAGAGAGGCACAGCACAGACTGGGATGTGGGGATGCTAAGGTTTGATCTACATGTGAGGGCCAGGTGTGAGAGTTCCAGAGGGCAGTGGCCCACCATGCGTGGTCCTCAGAGTCAGGCTTCTATTCAGGGCTGAGCCAGGGTCTCCCTGCTGACTACCCCCAGCTTGGTGGCCCAGGCATTGCAGTGCCTTCTCTAATTTCAAAGACTCATTCCCATCTCTTGGCCTTGACTTATGCGTCACCTATTATAACACAGTCTGGTATCCAAACAACCACATGTTTCTCTTCATTGGGAAGAAGAGAGCTCTTGGGGTCAGTAGCCCTAGTGGTGGGTCCCACATAGATGGCTGACAGAAACTCAGAGATGTGCTCGCTGAAGTGTGTGGAGGGAAGGTACATCAGAAACCACGCCAAGGCTCACCAAGAGGGAAAGGACCGAGTCCTAAAGCATGCTCAAGCACAGGATGCTGAATACCAAGGATGAACTGTCTGCTGCTACACACATGACCACGAGCAGGCCCTCCCCTCTGCATGAGTCCACCAACGAAAAGCTCAAGAATGGGGATTGGCATTGTGGTGCAGAGGGTTAAACCACCACCTGTGATGCTAGCATCCCATCTGAGTGCCGGTTCAAATCCTGATTGCTCCATTTTTGGTCCAGCTCCCTGCTAATGTGCCTAGGAGAGCAGTGGAATATGGCACAGCTTCTTAGACCTCTGCACCCATGTGGATGACCTGGATGGAACTCCAGGCTCCTGGCTTTGGCATGGCCCAGTCCTGGCCCACTAGAGACATTTGGGGAGAGAATCAGTGATGGAAGATTCTCTGGTTCTATTTATCTGTCCTCCCTTCTGTAATTCAACATATATATATACAGAAAGAGAGGGGGGTGAGGGAGAGTTTAACAGGCAGATGTCACTATGAATATGATGGTAACTTCCAGGGGGCAACCAGGAGGGGGCACCAGAGAGCCACAAGGGCCCTGCTGTGGTTGAGTTGCTAGGCCTGAGTGTGTCCCTGAGACGCTTAGCCAGCAGCTCAGCCATTCCGGTTTGCCCAGTGCTAGGCATATTCTAGCGCTGAGAATTCTGAATCCTGAGACACCTGCCGGTTATGCACACACTGGAACAGCTTGGTCACCCCTCCCAGACAGGAGAGTGTGGGAAGCCCGTCACAGGGAACTTCTCAGACCCAGTGAGCTCCATGCCAAATGAAGACTGAATCTGAGCGAGATTCACTCCAAGTGTGTTCTGAAGACCAAGAAAGATCCTGTACAAAGACCCTGGCTGCACAGCGCCCCGTGTCCCTGTGCAAGGAAGACCACTTGGAGAGCAAACAGGAAGGCCAGTCTCCTTGGTGGTGGGAGACCAGGCCAGACCAGGGGCAAATGCAGCTGAGCAGAGTGTGGGCTGGACAGCTAAGGCTGGCTTCTCAAGGGTCAGAGGTCTCCCCAGGGTCACGGAGCAGGGTAGTCAGAGAGGAAAGGGATGGAGAAGGGCTGGCAGGTGCATGCCCAGTCAGGGGTTTCTTTCCTGCAGATATGAGGGAGGCTGTCCATGAGCCCCCAGAGAGCAAACTTCCTGCACACAAAACTGCCCAGCTTATGCCCCACCTCGCCTTGTCTTCCTCATTCCTTCCCTTCCTTAATTTCTCTCTCTTACAGATTTGAGAGTAAGAGACACAAAAGGGAGTACACATGGGGTAAGAAAGTGAGAGTGAGAGAGGGAGAAGGCGAGCGAACAAATGAGCTTCTCCATCTGTTGATCCACTGCCCTAAATGTCCGCCAGGACGGAAACTGGGGGTCGGGAATTCAATCCAAGTCTCACACGTGGGTGGTGGACCTGGCGGTCACTGGAGCCACCAGCCTCCTGGGGTCTGTCCCAGCAGGAAGCTGGGATCAGAACCCAGAGGCGGTGCTCTGACCAGGCACTCCCTGGGGGCCTGTGGGCAGCTTCCCTGGCGCAGTGTTAGCCCCCAGCCCAAGCTTTCCCGACAGTGGTTCTCAGAGCCTGCCCAGCACCACGCCCTGCGGACAGCAGGCATCCCACACGGAGATCCCCTCCAGGCTTTCTAGGACACTGACTTTTCCTTTTGCTTTGACAACAGGATTTCTTATTTCTTTTAAACTGGATGCGTGCATTTCTCTACACCTGCAGCGAGAGCACTCCACTCTGCTGCAGGTCACGCAAGGTCAAGGGGCTGCCTCTGGGACCAAGGACGTGTGGACACCGGCCATGCCTCCCCCGCCAACCCCTGCTGCATTCACCAGCAGTGTTAGTGTGTAAATGGCTCCCTCTCTTCACCCCGCGTCCTGGTTTTAATTACTGTGTGGCTTTCTGTCTGTTCCAATAAAGACTGTCACCCAGAGCTCTTGCTCATTCTTCCATACGTGAGGCTGGCAGTCGGATGCCTGTGCTCACGCTGGCCTCAGGAGTAGGTAAGCACACAGGGATGTATTCTTGGATGCCACCCTGCAACCTCCCTCCCCCCGCACCCCTCCTCACTGCAGGCCAGGCTGGCCAACGTGTCTGGGCGGGCGCCTTACGTGGTGGCGACCCCACTTAGGGTGGGCCAACTCTGGGTGGGGGCTGCCTATCAAGCCATGCCCTGACAACCACCCCCACAACATTCCCACTCCCCAGGACTTACAGGATATAGCAGATGACTCCGATACTCCACATGTCCGTGGCGTAGCTGATGGGCTCATAGTTGATCACTTCGGGAGCCACAAATTCCGGGGTGCCAAAGAGGACCTTCAGGTCCCCTGCATTCTCTGAAGCCAGGAGGGAGAGAAACAGGCACTGGTCAGCGGGGGACAAGTGGCTGCTCTCCTTGTCTGTACACAGGCCCCAAGCCAGGAGGGACACAGACCAGGGCTGCCCCCTGGGAGCATATCTATCTGGAAGCTGGTATAGATAACCTGGCCTTCTGTTCAACACCCCCAGCAAGCCAGGAGGCCACACTCAGCTCAGACGTTGGCCCCTGTGTGTCTGTCTCTCCCATGAGTCAGGCCCTTGGCAGAGCAGGCACCTTCTGTTGGATACTCACTCACACCGTTCTAATCCTCCATGCTTCAGTGCCCTCAACAAGCCTGGGTGGGGGCAGTGGGACAACCATGCTACTGGGGAGGGGAGTGAGGCCAGTTAGCCAGGCGGCTTCCCTGCCTCGTCTATGGGGGTCAGGACTTGTCCCTCCCTCTCCCACCCCACCCCAGGAGCTCCTGAGCTGCCTTCTCCCTATCCTAGCCACATGCCTAGCCCTCAGGGGGCTGCTAGGACCATGGTTATGGTCAGTTGGGACAGGCTCTAACCAAGGTGGTACTCTTGGCCACAAAGAGACAGACCTAGGCAAGGCCTTGTCAGTATTGGTTGGTAGCAAGTTTCCACCCGGGGCCATACTTGGCCTTGCTGGGCTGCGCAGGGTGGCACGACCAATGTTCTAGGGCTGTGGCTGTGGCCGTGGCCAGCAGCCCCTAGATATGGGAACTGCACTCCATCCTGACCCTGCGCACTGCACTATAATGGCTTCTCCCAGCTCTGATGTGATACAAGCTGAGCACTCAGCATCCCTTGACCCAGAGAGCCTGCCCATGGGCTCTAACGTGGCCAGCTCCCAAGGCCAGGGCCCTACTGGGACAGTTATTGTCCAGGAGCATGCCCTGCTCACCAGCCACAGCTGCTCCCATCTTGAGCAGGTGACAGCAGGTGGGCACAGCCGCCCATCCCTTGCCCAGCTATGTTGGTTAAGAGGCAAGTCACCACCTGGCTGGGCCTCACTCCACCTTGGTCTTCGGAGGTCTGACCCAGCCCCAACCAGGACTGTGGGTCTTGGGAGAAGGCTGCCTCTTCTCTGCCTCCCCCAGCATGCTAAAGCAAAGGCCAACTCCCCCAGGTCCTGGGCTGCTCACCAGCAGGGCAGTGGCTGGAGGGGACAGCTGGAACATGGTTCCTCAGCCACTGACACATGGAAAGGTGGTGGAAGGTGTGTTAGGAATGGTCACGGGCCACCATGACCGCAGGGCTGGGTCCCCAGGTGGCCTCCCCCTTGCTCAGCGTAAGGGACAGCCGAGGAGCCACTAGGCACCCTGGACAAGGCTCAGTGTCTTTCTGCCAGCCCCAGCACCCCCGCTGGCTGCTTGTGGAACACTAGCTTTCCAGTCCACAAATGGGGCCTTAAAATATTGGCTCTCCTGATCTCATGGTGAAAATCAGGCAGGTTTTTTTTTTTCTTTCTAAAGTGAAGGTGCAGGTGTAGGAAGCTGTCGTTGTAGGCTTTACCCCCCAACAGCACCAGAGTACAAAAGAACAGGGGGGACGATTGTCATCATCATCACCATCATCAAATACAGAGCTGCCCCTTGCACCGTGCTTCCTACGGATAAGTCCCCTGGCTGCCATCATGTTCTCTGTAGGGACATGCCCGATCCTGATCCTCAATAGCTCTAAGGCAGGCATGGGTAATGTCCACTCTATACGTAAGGCAATTTGGGGTTTCGGTCCCCAGGTTAGACCCAAACCCAATCCGAGGCGGAGATGAGGAGACTGGTGACAGACGGGTCTTACCCAGCCTCCTGGCCAGGCCAAAGTCGATGAGCTTGATCCTGGTGCCTGTCTTGTTGACACACATGATGTTCTCGGGCTTGAGGTCCAGGTGGACAATGCCCTGCTTGTGGATGTACTCTACCCCCTCTGAGATCTGCTTCATGTACTTGATGCACTCGCGCTCCGTCAGCTCAAAGTCCTCATCGATGATGCGCTCGAACAGCTCGCCCCCCGACACGCTGCAGGGACAAAGGCAGAAGGGCACACGGGACTTAGACCCCAGGATGCCTGAGGCTGTACTGGCAGGGAGCGGGAGGATCCCAGGAAGGAAAGCTCTGGGTCTGGGGGAGAGGGGTTCCCTGCTGCAGCTTTCTGAGTTCCTGAAGCCCAACCTTGAGGTGCAGCAGGGCCTCCTGGTTTCTTGCTTGGGGATAGTGTGGTGGTGAGGGACCCCTGCCCTGCACCTGCTGAGTTGCTGGGGGTACTTGGGGAATGTATCTGGGCCAGGCAGCTTCAGAGGTGGGCATGCATGGAAAGATCCAGACATGACCACCCTAACATAAGGAAGACCCCTGGGGAGATTCTCTCCCTCAAATGACCATAGATGAATACAGGAGCATTCCTGTACGTAGGCCATGTCCTTTAGCTATGGAGAGCTGGAGTTTAAAATACACACAGTTCCCATCATCATTTATTTTGCCCAGTGAGGAACAGGGGAAAAAAAAAACCTTCAACAAAAAGGAACCTTGGCAAGTGTTCTAAAATTAGTCGGCTGCAGTCCATTCTACCTACAGCTGTGATGCATTCTCTCTTGGGCGAGGGCTACAATCCCAGGTTACTCCTTGTTCAGGCTGCAAAAAGCATCCTCTCTGCCTGGAGAGGTTTCATTTAAGTAATACTTAATTACTTTTAAAATTATTTAGGAAGAAGACGGACAGAGGGAGAGGTGGAGAAGGAGGGAGAGTATCTTCCATCTGCTGTTTCACTCCCCACATGTTTGTAATAGCTGAGGCTAGGCCAGGCTGAAGCCAGCAGCCTGGAACTCAATCCAGGTCCACTCACGTGTGTGGCAGCGACCCAAACTCCTGATCCATCAGCCACGGCCTCCCAGGCTGTGCTTTATGAGGCAGCAGGGACCCAAAGCTGAGCTGGCTCTCGGACCCGAAGCTGAGCCAGCTCTCAAACCCAGACACTCTGACATGAGATGTGGGTTCCTCCAGCAGCGTCTTAACCATTGTATCAAAAACGCAGGCCCACTGCCTAGTCTTTAAATCCTGGTCATAGTCAGTCAGCTCCGAGCTTCTATTCCAGGCCCTGGCCAGTCAGTGTGCAGCCCTGCAGTGTGTCCCAACTCGGGTCTGTCCCAGTCCCAGCCCCTGCTCCCCCATCACCTTCCTCTGCTCACTGCCAAGAAAGTTGAATCCCTCCCTGGCAATGCAAACAATACCCAGATACCAGGAAAGCCATTTCCACGAGGGCCCACGGTCCACCAGCGGTGTGCCTGCCACACAGCGGGGGCTCTGCACCCATTCATCATAGTTTTGACAACCTGTGGTGGCCCTTGTTGCTGATCCCGCCCAGCAGAGTGGACAAGAATGCGCTCCTGGAAGGGATGAGCTGATGGCCACGAGGGGGAGCTAGAACCGAGACTTTCAAAGCCATCAGAGCGAGGGTCACTGCACGGTCAGCAGGTGGCGCCCTGGCCCTTAAGCCTTGGGTTCTGGAGTCCAACTTGCCTCCAACCTCAGTGTTTAACCATCTCAGTGCCTCAGTTTCCTCAGCTGTATGATGCAGATTGAAACCGTTCTCCCCCACCTCTGCTCCCCCACCTGCCTGAGCTGTTGCAGGTGCAGGGTTTGAGCAAAGGGAGCGCAGGACACACCCAGCACTCAGTATCCATGAGCAATATTTTACTTGGACGAATCCCTTGGGGGCCTCTTGTTGGAAAATTTAGATTCCTCACAGTCCTCCCCTTTTTGATTGAGCTCTTGGGAGGGATTTTAGGCACTCTAGGTCGATCCTAGCTCAGACATATTTGAAAAATCCTGGCTTACTCAACTACCTCTGCTCTGAAGAGCCTGTCCCTACTCCCCACCTCCTCTACCTCCCCTGGGGAAGGGGCCTGGCCCGGCCTGGCAGTCTACACCTCTGTGTCTGAGCACCACATGTGTGCGCATGTCTGCAAAAGCTCCACCTCACCTTTGGACCCTTATTTGCAATTGATAATATCTGTTCCCTGGCCCATGTTGGATTTTAAGCTTGAGAGTCTGGGGGCTCTTAGCCACGTGCTGTTCCCACTGCACTCCTGTAGGTGACTTACTCAACATTACAGGTGCGATTCCTTTCTAGGATGGGAGGCATTGGACCAGCAGGATTAATGGTTCTGTAGGTTCCTCTTCAAAACACTCACGATTAAGGGTGGACAATATCGGAAGCAGCTCACTGCCCATTGAGACAAGGACTGCCAAGGGTTACAACTGGGCCAGAGAAAGTTATGTATTGGATAAATTAACACTGAACACTCAGGTAAATGAGCAAATGAGTAAACATTGACCGGCACCAAGCCTACCTAATCCCAAGGGATCAGGTCAATTTTCCCTGGAACTCTAGACCTTAGCCAGGCCTCACTGGCGAGCCAGAAGGGATGGTACTGTCCGGGAATGCTACCCCGGGGCCCTCAACCCCCCTGGCTCACAGCCTTGGGCTTGTGTGCAGGGTCCCACCACCAGGTGTCATGGACCATGCCATTCCAGAATAAGGAGCTCCAGATGCAGGCCGGGGTCTGCAGGAAGGCGCCCTGATTCTTAGCTGGCTTGCTATGTGATGGGAACGCGTGCCATACTCAGCATTTGGGAAGGTTCCTTCTTTATTCTCAGTGCATCTGAGGGTCCTGGAAGATAGCTTCACTTTCCTCTATCCCATGGTTGCTAGTGGCTTCTCCATCCAGTTAGGACAGCAGCAAACTGCACTGCTAAGATCCCCCGCTGTCCCCGCATGCCCTCCGGGCCCTGGGCTGGAAGGCAGGAGCTGGGAGCGAGGCACAGCAGGAGACAGGTCTGCTTCCTTCTTCCAGGGTAGAGCTCTTCTTGGGAGGGATGGGGGGTGGGTTCCTCAGCCCCTCCCCTGCTGTGCTGGGGTCCCTTTTGGCATCTGTGCATAGCTGCCTTGCTCCTGTCCACAGGGGGAGGTGGGGAGGCGGGGGACGGCGGATGAAAGCCAGACCAGCTCAAACCTCCTTATGCTTCCTCCCTACTTTTTCCATCCTGCGTGCCAACTCCCAATTCCGAGCTAAGTATGGTATTCTGCCCACTGGCGCAGCTGCCCAGCTCTCCCCAGACCCGGCTGTCCCCCTCCCTGCACCCTCCCCCCTCCCAAACCCTCTCATGAAATTGCTCTAGGTTTAAGTTCTAAAGATAAGACATTTTGCCACTTGTCCTTGCATGCCCACGCTGCCTGGTCTACGCAACCTGTTCTAGGACAAAAGTGAAGGCTGTGGCCTGTGGGGCTAGCCTGAGAGCAGAATGAAAAGCTGACATTTGCCCAGTCTCGCTGGCCTCTGTATTCCAACAGTGGAAGGCTCAGATGCTGGGAGCACCTCCCCAAGGGGACTGGCATGCCCAGAGCCCAGACAGGGCAAGTCCAGGACACTGGAGGCCATGCCACAGTTTTCCCAGACATTCCAAAGTACTTGCCATTGGGTCCAGGACTCGCGGGCTTGTGGGAGTTGATCTACCAATCTACATGGGCACGAGTGAGAAGAGGCCACAAATGTGTGTGCTGGGACCCAAGCTTCTGGGCTGGCTCCTGAACTCCAGGAAGGCCCTACTTCTCGGAGTTCCGGAGTTCCTGTGGGGCCGTGGGAACAAGACCCAACCCTGGCACTGACAAGGTGCCTCCTTGCGCAGCAGTGTGGTGAGCAAGGACAGGGCGTGAACGCACGCAGCTACCTATCGTGTTGACAGGTGGAAAAACAGGAACACACCGATCACATTTGCTTGTATGTCTGTAAGGACACGGATCAAACCAACGAAACGGGTTAGCTGTGCGTGGTGAGGGGTGACGACAGGGTGTGCGGGAGACTCGTCACTGTGTGTTTTCTGATGCGATGGCACCATAGATCCAACAAATTCAGTTAAGAAAGGAAACTTGACAAAAATGCAAATGCTATGGAGGGATGCCTGGTTTTAGAAACCAAACACAGAGAGAGAGAGAGAGAGTAAGAGAGAGAGAGAGCATGTGCGTCCATGCTGGGCCACACCAGTACTCAGAGGTGAGGGAGGTGGAGACCTGGAAGGCAAAGGAAGTGAGCAGTTTCTAGGATGCCCTGGCTGGAGGCCCTCTGGTCCATCCCTTATGCCTTTGCCCAGCCCAGCAGAGAAAGCACTGTGGGTTTTGGAAGGTTACAGCTGCACTGGGGACACAGAGAGGGATGGGGAAATGGAGTGGCACAAGGGGAGGCCAGGAGTCGGGGGTGGGGTTCCACTCCCAGGTTCCACACACCCCCACACCTGGTTCCCATTCAACTTCTCAGGAAAATCATGCCATCTCTCCCCTTGCACTTTCAACCACTTGCATCTCAGCAGGGCGTTGGCTGCTAAGCCAAGGAGCCCCAGGGGAGCTTTGGCCTTTGTGGGTGAGAAGGTCCACTGCACAGGCTGTGTGGGTGCCCGTGTGGGTCAGGGTCAGTGCTGCACGCAGACCCTCCTGGTTCCCACTGCTCAGCCCTGGCCTCGTGGCCTCTGGGTACCTGGCCTGTCAGTCCCATCCCCGCGTGCAGTCACAGAGCCACTCACATCTCCAGGACCATGACGATGTTGGCCTTTTCTTCGAAGGCGTCCACGCACTGCACCAGCTTGCGGTGGTGCAGGCAGTTCATGATGCCGATCTCCTCCCGGATAGCCTCCTTCTCTTTGGCCGAATATGCCTTGAAGAATTTCCCTGCCCAGATTTTTCCAGTTTTCTTTTCTACCAGTCGGAAGACCTGTCCAAATTTCCCACTGCAGAGAAAAGGGGGGAGAGAGAGAGAGAGAGAGGGTAAGAGACAGAGGTCACCCTGAGACAAGCTGTCAGTTAAGTCGGAGTTGGCATGTTGGGGGTCTGTGGGACAAACAGGGACCCGTTTCATTGGGACATGGCCACACCTGTTGGCTCCCATAACATCACTGGTGGCTCTTGTGCTGCACCAGCCCAGGGGGGCTGTTGTGACATGGGGTGTGACTTGTGGGCATAAAAGACCGATACTCTGCTCTTCATAGAAAAAGCTTGCCTGCTGCTATCCTGGATCAATGAAGAACATTTTGAAAATTGCCACTCATCTCTTCCCATTTTTATTTGAAAGGCAGAGAAAGAGAAAGGTCCTTTTCATCCTCCACTTCACTCTTCAAACGCCTGGCAGCAGCTGGGGCTGGGCCAGGAGTCGGAGACTCCCTCTGGGTTTCCCATGTGGGTGTCAGGGGACCCAAGGACTTGAGCCACTCCTTGCTGCCTCCCAGGCTGTGCCCTGGCAGGAAGCTGGATGGGAAGTGGAGCTGGTACTCAAACCGAAGCTTTCTGATATGGGATGTAGGCATTCCAGTCAGAGGCTTAATACCGAGTCTCATGCCCACCCCAAGTGGGGTGCCTCTTTAATGTGCTAACTTTCTAGCTTTGACCTTGGCTGACGGACTTCTGTTCCTTCCCAATCGTTGAGTTGAGCTTGTTCTTCCTAAGCAGGAAATGGTTGAGCAGTTCCCTTCTTTCTACTCCACCCTCCAGCGTGGGGCCCTGGCCAGAGTCCAGGGAGGGCCCTACTACCCTCTGCAGGGTCCTTTGATACAGCACCCCTCTCCACAGATCTGTGATGAGGCGGGCATCATTTGGGAGGATGCATGAGTTTTGAAACTTTTCTCTGCAATGACATAACAGATGTCTTGGGAGTGAGGATGCCATGTCCCACACTGGAGTGCCTAGGTTCAATGCTAGCTCTGCCTGCCTGACTCAGCTTCCTGCTACTGCAGATCTTGGGGAGCAACAATGATAACTCCAGTGGCGGCTGGGTCCCTGTTCCCTGTGGGGGATCCTTGGCCTAGGGTGCTGGCTGGGTCCCTGTTCCCTGTGGGGGAGTCCTGGCTTAGAGTGCTGGCTGGGTCCCTGTTCCCCTTGGGGGAGTCCTGGCCTAGAGTGCTGGCTGGGTCCCTGTTCCCCTTGGGGGAGTCCTGGCCTAGAGTGCTGGCTGGGTCCCTGTTCCCTGTGGGGGAGCCCTGGCCTAGAGTGCTGTCTGGGTCCCTGTTCCCCTTGGGGGAGCCCTGGCCTAGAGTGCTGGCTGGGTCCCTGTTCCCCTTGGGGGAGCCCTGGCCTAGAGTGCTGGCTGGGTCCCTGTTCCCTGTGGGGGAGCCCTGGCCTAGAGTGCTGGCTGGGTCCCTGTACCCCTTGGGGGATCCCTGGCCTAGAGTGCTGGCTGGGTCCCTGTTCCCCTTGGGGGAGCCCTGGCCTAGAGTGCTGGCTGGGTCCCTGTTCCCTGTGGGGGAGCCCTGGCCTGGAGTGCTGACTCTTAGTTCTGGCCCTGACCATTGACAGTATTTGGGGAGTGAACTTACAGATAGGAGCTCTCTTTATATCTCTCTGTATCTTAAATGCACTAAAATATATGGCTTTAAAACATTGAAAAGAATTATATTTCCTTGTTTACAATCTTCAAAGCGCCCTCCTATTTCCCAGAAACCCCTGGAAATAAAAACTGAGTCTCATTCCTTTCTGTTCCACTTCCTTGGACTCCTCCATGGATAGAAAAAAATAAATTGTTCACAAAGGCTGTGATTGAGCCAAGCCAAAGTCAGGGGCCAGGAGCTCTGTCAGCCCAGGTACTTGAGCCATCTTTTGCTTCCTTCCCAGGATAATTAGCGGGGATCTGGATTGGAAGTGGAGCAGCTGGGATTTGAACCAGCACTTCCACATGAGTTGATAAGAGTCGTAGGGGGCAGCTTAAGTGACTGTGCCATAGCACCTGCTCCTCTGTGCATCTTCAAGATGTGCTAAAGCTAGTGTTGCTGAACATGGATTCCCAGTCGGTTTCAGAGAGACCCTGCACAGAATCCAATCCAATCCTGCACTTGAACAGAGGGTCAGCAAAGGAGGGACTTGCCCCAGGCTGTGGCAGAGGTGGGTCAGGGGCAGAGAGGGGGCAGAGGGCCAATCCCTCCTCTTTCTGTAGGAATCTTAGCCCAAGGAGAAGTCTAGGGAGAGAAGAGGGCTCAAGACTCTGAGTTTCACAGTGGGCCCTGTTGCCCCTCACCCAGCATCCCACTCCACTTACGATCCTAGTCTCTCTTCGATGTCATAGAAGTCAGACACTTTCTGCTCGGTGTTGATTGTCACCGTCCGGTAATCGATCTCGGGCTCCTTCTCGTCTGCAGCAGAACAGGTCAGAGGGAGTGTGAGCCATCACGTCCCCTGCCTAAGCATCCTCTACCTGCCACCCCACTCCAGAGGGAGCTGGCCCAGCACTCACCATCATCCGACACCTCCTCCACTTCATCCTTTGGCTCTGGGACAGAGAGGACACGTGGGTCAATATTGAAGGCAATAGAGAAGACAGCCAGGCTACAGCTGCAGACAATCCTGGGGCTGCTCCGTCTATACCACCCACAGAGCTGGTGTGGGAAGTCCTGGCTGCCCACTCCCACTCCAGCCCTCTCTCAGCGACTGTCTCTCCATCCCTGCCTCCCTGTCTTGTTTCCTATCGTGCACCCTTTTCCATGTCCCTTCACTCCCTCTAGCCTCCCAGAGCCCCCACGTCTGCCCACTTCCCCCACTGGCCACTTTCTGCCCAGGCTCTGGAGCTGGCAACTGATGAACTCTTCTGGCTTGGAACCTGCCAGCCACTGGCTGAACATCTTTGTGCAGTTCCCTGCCTGCCCTGCGCCTTGCCAGGCAACATGAATACATGCTCCTTCTTTCTGGAAGTGGATCATTTAGTCGGAGAGCCACAAGTAGATTTGGAGTATCACTTAGGAAGCTTCCCTAGTTCAGCCCAGACTACTGTGGGACAGACTGAACCCATGGCACCACAGTGGAGAGAGCAGACACCAACGGGTGCTTATGAAAGCACACCTGTCTTCCTCAGAAGCAGCCCACAGGCTGTGTCTTACAGCAAAGACAGAAATGGGAGGGGGTGTGAGTACCCCCCTATGTAGACCTAATAGCCAGGCAGGCAGGAGGCAGGTGGGAAGGGACCCAGCAACCCCCCAGCCCACAGTAGCAGCTGTTCACACAGATGTGGCAGGAAGGGAACGGGGCACAGAGGACAGGCAGGCACATAGCTCCTAGCACCAGCTTTCATTGCCCTTGAAACACACCTGCCTGTGGCAGCAGGTGCTGGGGCTTGGTGACCAGGGCAAAGGTTCTCTGTCTCTTCATGTGTATGAGGAGGGAGTAATGGCAGGGGCTTCCAGGGTCCTGGCTGGCTCTGGATGCCAAACTCTGCAATGTGCTTGGTGGCCCTGGCAGCTCAGGACCTAGGGAACAGCTTCCTGAGGGACTAGGATAGTGAGAGAGATCATGGGGTGCGGGGACGATGTATGAGATGTAAGTGTGTGAACGTAAGTGTATGTGAGAGGGTGTGTGTGCAGGTGAATGTGTGTATATGTGAGGATGAGTGTATGGGACAGTGCGAGTACATGTGTGTGCATATGTCAGAGAAGGATAGTGTTTGAGAGTGTTAGGTTGTGTGTATGGACATGCATGAGACTGGATGTATTCGTATGTGCATGTGTGATGATATGTGTGATAGTATGAGTATGTACATGTGCGTGTGTGTGTGTGAATAAGACTGTGGGAAGGGTGGGGTTTGTTGAAGCCCCAGTAGAGCTCTGTGGTGGACAGGAAAGGCACCTCACATGGGGACCACTACAGGAAGGTGCACGTGGGTCCCAGCAAACTGAGCTCTGCTGGGCTTTGCAAGTCCAGTGTCTGGGATGTAGGTGCGAGCTGGTAAGGAGGGGCTGCATCGAACTACCCTGTTAGGCTGAGGAATGAACCAATGCCTGGAGCCCCAGCACACGAGCAGGGGACCAGGGACATGAGCCCTCGATGGGGTAGGTTCCCCTGCTAGTGTGTGCCCAGGAGTGAGAGACGCAGTGACTCATGCAGAGTCCCTTATGTGCTACACAATGCCACCGAGTGGGAGAGGAGGCCCCAAGGGATTAAGAATTTACAGGTGACAAGCATGGCCCAATAGCAGTGCACCTGTAGGCTCCTTAACAGTCGCCATGCAGGGAGGGCTTAGCTACTCTACACTTTGGGCGCCACGTCCTGAGCATTTACCTAAAGCCCAGGATGGGAGCTACTGGGTCCTCCAGAGCTCCAGCAGCAGATTGCTGTTACTGGGAAGAGTGTGCCAGCACATATACACACAGGTATTGCACAGCACACACTCTGCAAGGGCTTGGGTCCCTGCTCTGGTATGCTGGAAGGTGGAAGTCTGCTGTGAGTTGGAGGGATTATGGAGGACCCTGAATGTAGGAGGACTGGGAGCTGCCCCATTAAGACACCCAGAAAAAAGGCCAGGAGTCCCTCTCTGTGACACAAGTCCAACACTGACACAAGGTAGAAGAACTTCCAGGGCACAACAGGCTAGGCTGCCACCTGCAATGCTGACAGTCCCTATTCAAAGACCGATTCCAGTTCACTTCCAATCCTGTTTCCTACTAATGCATAACTGGTAAGGCAGCAGCAGGCAGCCCAAGTGTTTGAGCCCCTGCCCTTCACACAGAAGACCCCGATGGAGCTCCAGGCTCCTGGCTTTAGTGTGCCAAGGTCGAGCTGCAGACTGCTCATCAGCTCATGAATGCAATAGCATGTGGGAACCACATGGTTGAATCATCAGGAATGTCAAGTAGTGTCTAAGCCAGGTCAGTGATGTCACTTCAGACAGGTCCTGGAGGGTCCCAGGAAGATCAAGCTGATCCTTCATCACTGATCTTAAGGGTAAGCTAAGAAGTGACCACCCAGGGTGCCCTGAGACTGCAGTCCTGGCCTCCCCAGGCATCCTTGATTTTCCTGCTCCCCTGTGCTGCTCTAAGGTGACACAGGAACTGGAGTGCCCGGAACAGTGCACAGGCTTTCTCAGCATGGTCTCTGCAGGAGGACACTTGGTGCCCTGTGCGTGGAGGAGCAGTGGTGCTTGGGTGAGCCTGGGGTGGGGATTCCAGTGACCAGCACAGAGAACTTTACTCTTACTCTACAACCACTTCTTTCTCATATAGTCCAGAGTAGAGCCAGCCTTCTGGTCTACCTTGCAAACACCTGCCTCTCACCTCTGTCTCCCGAGGCAGCTGAGGAACAGGTGGGATTTTCAGAGGACATAAACCCCTGAACTGAGCTCATGGTTGTGCAGCAAATTTTCCTTTAGGGGAAACTCTAATGGATACCCACCCTGCCCCCAGCTGTTCCCTTCAGTCCTGCAAGATGACCACCAGTGGAACCAAGCCTCTATTCAGAGTGGGATGTATGGCCCACAGCTACTGCCCAGAGCAGTGCCCTTCCACAGCCCAAGGACTGTTGCATGCCCAGCGGGCACTAGAGGGCGACCCAGTCTCAGAGATGGCTTCAGGCCCAGGCTTGGCAGTTTCCCCATCTCTACTGCTTTAGGGTTGCCAGGGTCTCTTTGGCCAACAACCTACATAGACCAGAGCCAGTGAGGGTTGGAACCCAGGAGGCGTGAATTGCCAGGTTGTGGTGGGGGAGTTCAAGGACTGCCTGGAGTGGGAGAGGGCAGGTCCTATGCAGGTAGTTGACTCTGTTCTGGGAGGGAAAACCCAGGCTTGGGGGTGGCTCTGGCGCAGCCAGAGGAGCCCCTGGAACCAGTTGGAGAGCCCTGCTTTGTCTTTTGTAATGCCAAAGGGGTGCCTGGAACATGACAGAAGTGTGGGGTGGAGGGCAGGCAAACAGGGATGGCACAGAGAGCAGGTTGAAGCCAGGGCCCCAGTGGTGCTGGTGGGGATAGAGGCAGTGCTTGGGGCTGCCGTTAGCTGGGCTTTAGGTGCAAGGGCTGATGGGCGCTGCCCCTTCACTACAGCCTCTACACTCCATCTTCAAGGAAATCATCTGCCACGACCTTTTACCCACCCACTCCCTCCACACCTACATGCCCCACTTGTCCACCCTGTCTGAGAGTCCTCCTCCCTCAAGCTCAAACCTGGCCAACTGCCTTTTCTCTCCCTTGACACCTGCCTTAGACAGCCAGCTGGGCCTGTGGTGGGGAGTCACTCTCTGTCTGGAGGCCCTGGGGGGCTGGAACCCCTCCTCTGGATATCAAGGATTTAAACACAGCCCTTGTCTGCTGTCAGGAGAGGGGCTGTGGTGGGTGGGAGGGGCTGCCCAGCGCCTCCTCCTTGCTATGAATCCTCCCAGGCCATCTTTGTGGTTTACACACAGAGCACACCTGGTGGGCCTCCGTTCCAGGCCAGGGCCATCTGCTTATTGCATGCCATCTTGCTGACCCATGTCTTGTCACTTTTCTAAGAGTTGTCCCCTGGAGCTCGGCTTCCCCTCCTGCTACCCTCTCTAATCATTCTGCCACTGCTCATTTGAGAGAGATATGGTTGTGTGTGTGCCTGCATGTGTGTGCATGTATGACATTGTATGTATTGTCATGTATGACACTGTACGTGTGTACACTGCCATATATATATATGACATGTGTATATGCATGATGTTACTTGTATGAGACCATGTATATGACAGAACACATATGATAGCATGTGTGTATGACATGTGTATGAAATACATCACATCGTATTGTATGAAGCTGCATGTATCATGCATATATGACAAGTGTATATAACATCATGTATATGAAATCACAAGCACACATATGACATATGCATATGTCTGGGTACATGACATTGTGCATATGATGACACTGCATTTCATGATGCCGTGTATGGAGCTGAGGCTCAGCCATGCTGTCCAGGGCCCCTGTACCCTTTCTGTACCTTCTAGTGGCTCTATTGGGCAAAGTCTGCCTAGCACGTAGGCAGCCCATTGAGACTGGAAGCTGCCTCCCCTACGTGCCTGCCTGTGACTCTCCTGGGACTCGGAAGCAGAGTTTTCATGGCTATTTCACCTATCTTTTGCAACTCAGAGGGTAAGAGTGTAGCAAGGACAGTCCAAGTGCTCAGGGAGCCTGGAATCTCAGGGTCACAAGGAGTCTGCAGGGGAGAGACTGTGTCTCCCACATCTCTGCCCCACTACACCCTTAACCTCAGAACCCTTCCACCTTCACCCCCAATCCGTCTTCCTGCTCGTCATGCCAAATGTCCTGAAACAACAGCCCATGCTCCTAGCTTCTCTTTCTTCCATTTCTTCCTTCGCCAGAGCATTCACAACGGTCGCCATCAACCACCATAGGCCCAAACCCGAACACCCTTCTGAGTTCCCATCTCTTTCACCTGCTCACACACATGTGATTCAGGTCCCCAGGCCATCTGCCACCTACTCCCTCTCCTGTCCCCATAAAGCAGGTCCAGCCTCCCAGAGGCTCACATTGCTCCCCCTTCCCTCCCCAGTCCTTCCGTCTGGTCCTGTAGGTTCCTTTATTGTGGTTCTAGGGTTGGCTTTCTCTATTGCCTTCTTGGTGAGTTCATCCCTGTACTCTCAGCTTCAACCACCCGTTAGAAGGTGCAGCTTTGTAGCATTAGTCAAGCCTTTCTCTGGTGTGCCAGATGACATCTCCCCTTTGATATCCTTCAGACCCTCTCAACCTAACAGGCCTGCAGCCAGAGCTCCCCCCTACTCCCAGGCATCCCTGTTCCTAATCCCCACCTCACTCAGGGCAAGCGACCTCAATGGAACCAACGGGGGGCTGAGGCACTGAGCGAGAAGCCTCTGTGAGCTGGAGTGTATAGCTTCGCCCCTCTGAACCTCATGTCCCTATGTGTAAAATGTGGGGTGAGAACAGCACCTAGACTACAGCAACTGAGATGGGAGTGGCAGCAGGTAGACAAAGCAATCAGCCCCTGGGTAGCACAGACCAAAAAGTGCTCAAGGCATATAGACTATGAAGTCATGGTGATCGTCAACCTATGCACTGACTAGTGGTTGCCCAGGCCATGAACCGAGAGCCATCTCACACTGTTCCCACTTACCCCTCTACTCTCTGCCCAATGGGCCATCGACACAGGTCAGCTTTCCCTTCTCTGCCCCCTGCTCTGGGACCTGGCTGATTCCAGGCTCACTCCACCAATACACTCTGTGCAGATGCATGCACAAATGCCCCCCAGTGTTAGATGTGTTTTAAGGCTCAGCAGACCCTTAGCACTGGGTTGGGTGGGAGCCTGTTCCTTCTCACAACTGTAAAGGCCCATGATGGCCTTCGCAGCTTCACCCAAGTTGTCCTTATCTTACTTCCTCCTGTTCTCCCTCACTCTAAATACAACCAGGCGGCACAAACATGTCCCACAAAACCACACATTCCTTCCATTACACTCACCTTCACTGCCCCTGTTCCCTCTGCATGGAAGGCCTTTCCATATCTCCTCTACCTCCCGGATTCCAAGTCTTCTCTTTTTTTCTTTTCTCCAAGACTCAGCTTAAATATCACCTCCTTCAGGAAGCTTCCCGCACCCATGACAAACTTTGCAGGTTTCTACTATGCCACCTGGCTTTCTGCTGATATCACCTATACAGGATGCACCCATGTCCTTATGGTTAGCCATCTGCAGGTCTGTCCCCCTAGATCTGAATCTTTCTGTCTTTGTGCCCCAAGCATCAGACACCAAATATCCACTCAAAGAAGAGAGCATTTTAAAAAAAATTTTTTTCAGGAAAAATGGAATTACAAGGTAAGTTTACTTTGGTGCAAATTTTTTTTGAAATTTGTGCATAATGAATTTTTTGGTGACTTCCGTCCTATAAGTGTAAGAGAAAGATGGAAGAGGTAGAAGGTGGGTACAGGACTTGAGGTCCACCTGAGACCTGTTCCTGAGTGACACAACATTGCCTCCAGGTAGCAGTGCACCCAAATTGCTAGATTAGTGTTTCCTGAAAAAGTCAAGCACCCCGAGCTTAAGAAGGAAGATGGTGTCCAGAGGCCCTCCATGCACCAATGCTTTCTCAGTGCCTCTGTACTGCCCATCTACAAGACTCGCAGGGCAGTCACGGGGCTTCACAGAGGGCCCACGGGGAAGCAAGAAAGGCAGCTTACCCTCGGGCTTCTCGCCCACTGTCGTGAGCTCCGACTCCTGGCTCGGCTCACTGGTGCCATACACGTTGATAGCACGCACACGGAATTTGTACTCGCGGTCAGACAGCAGGTCGCGCACGTTAAAAGAGGTACTGCGGCACGTGGCAACTTCCTTCCACAGCTTGTCCACCGAGTCCCAGATCTCCACGCTGTAGGACTGCACTGCACTGCCTCCGTCGTAGGAGGAGCCGTACCAGGACAGGGTCAGTGAGGAGCTCCGAATGTCAGAGGCGCACGGTGTGCCAGCTGGCGGGTCTGGCTTATCTGGAGACAAAGAAACACGGGGTCACCCAGACTCTCCAAAAGGACAGGAGAGAGATGTGCTCGAATTAACTTGGTCCTGGGGAGAAGTGGCCTTGGGACACTCCTTGGAGAGAGGGGGTCTGGGAGGATCCAGACTCTCCCTCCCCTTGTGTCTCAGGCACCGCCATACACACAGACACAGCAGTTCAGAGAGCCTCACCAATACCCATTTGCTTGAAAAACAAAAAAAATGTTTCAGGACTAAGTTTCAATCTGCACGTTAAGATTTTCTGTGCTCTGAACAAGTCCTAAACACACATCTCAGAATAAACAGATCTAGGAAGCTGCCCAGAGGCGTGTACTGTTTCCCATCAAAAGTAAGCTTTGAGAGTGTTGACGGTGTGTGTGTCCTGCAGGCCTGAGTCTATGTCCAGAGTGGATGTGAGTGGATGTGTGTGCGTTGTGTGTGTGTGTGTGTGAGTCCTTGCAGGCATGAGGCTGTGGGCAGAATGTATGAGTGGATGTGTGTGTGTGTGTGTGTGTGTGTGTGTGTGTGTCCTGCAGGCCTGAATCTATGTCCAGAGTGGATGTGAGTGGATGTGTGTCCAGAGTGGATGTGTATGCATTGTGTGTGTGTGTGTGTGTGTGTGTGTGTGTGTGTGTATCCTGCAGGCCTGAGGATGTGTCCAGAGTGGATGTGTATGCATTGTGTGTGTGTGTGTGTATATGTGTGTGTCCTGCAGGTCTGAGTCTATGTCCAGAGTGTATGTGTGTGGGTGTGCGTGTGTGTGTCCTGTAGGCCTGAGGCTGTATCCAGAGTGTGAGTGGATGTATGCATAGGTGTGTGTGTTGCATATGTGTGTGTGTGTGTGTGTCCTGCAGGTCTGAGGCTGTGTCCTGAGTGGATGTGAGTGGATATATGTGTGTACATTCATGTGTGTGTCCCTTACGACTGGCTTTGACCTGTGTTTAGACTGTGTGTACATGTGTGTCCAGTGAGCCTAAGGCTATGACTCTTTGTTCAGTGTGTGTGTGTGTGTGTGTCTCTCCTGTAGGCCTGAGACCATGACCCGTGACATACCTCAAGGTTTGCTCTACTTCCTCTGGGTCTTGGAGAACACTAAACTGCTTGAGGGGCAGTTCAGTGAGTCATAAAGTCCCACTCAGGAGCTGCTGGCCAGTCTGTGTCTCAGCTTCCCTCTCTGTTAAGGGCTGTTGGTAAGAGTGCTAGGTCCCCAGGCTGTTGTCAGGCAATTCTTAGCAATGTGGCTGGTGTGACATTGGTCATGACCACGGCTGTCACTGTGTGTTTCTCTAACTCTGTGATACAGGATCATGCCTACCCTATACCTTTTTGATCCTTGCAGACCTAGCCCTCCACCAACAAGGTCACCAATCTGCGACTGTGGCTGCTGCCTTCCCAAGGCTCTTGAGCCTTGTGGAGTTTTGTGAACCACTGACTTGAGTAAAGCTGTCCTACTTACGAGTTCTGGCTTTGGTGGGTGCTTGGTTAATTATAGATGTGTGTGCTCGGGCATGCTCCTTGCCCATCAATACAGTGTGAGCTCACAGAGCCTCACAAACCAGCCATTAAAGCCATGCGTATGGGTGGGTACCTGGTGCAGCGGTTCAGCCGCTACATGGGATGCCCGTGTCCTGTCCTGGAGTCCCTGGGTTCAAAGCTCAGCTCTGCTTCAGATCCCACCTTCCCACGCATGTGTGCCCCGGGAAGCAGCAGTGATGGCTCAAGATGCTTGGGTCGCTGCCATCCACATGGTCAACTTGGATTGAATTCCAGGCTCCTGGCTTGGGCCTGGTTCAGCTCTGGTTATTGTGGGCATCTGGGAAATGAACTTAGTGGATGAAAGATCTCTACGTATCTTGCAAGTAAATTAAAAAGAATTTTAAATGTATTTTTAAGAAAAATCAAACAAACCACCTTTCAAGTTATGTGGACTCAGAAGCTGTAGGAAACTTGAGACCAGTTTGCTGATTTTACGATTTAATAAATGGTGCTAATCTGTTCCTGCTTCTTGGGCCATTTACAAGCCTCAAAGAAGCAATCACTGGCAAGCAGAGCTTTTGATGCCCACTCTCCCACCCCTGCCAGGCAGGAGGGCTCAAAGGAAATGTTCTGTACACATGGGCAAAATAACCATCTGTGCTACACATGCGTGTATATGTACTACACATGTACATCTATGGGTGAATGTGAATACAAATGTGCAAATATGTATGTGAATGCATGTATGTATGGTGTGCTACACACATGTGCCTTATCACAAGAATGTGTGTACACATGTGCAGGTCTGGGCCAATGTGCTATGTATCTGTACATGTGTGTATACATGTGTGAATGTGTACATGAATGTACACGCAGGTCTGAATGTGCTTGTGTGTACATGGACAGATATACCTAGTTGTTCTCAGCTCTCCCCCTGTCCTCCAGGCCAGGGTGTGCCGTTGGAAGCCATCCATCCCCAGCAGCCCGGGCCTGGACCTCGTCCTGGGAATGGCTTTGGGACAGTGACAGAGACGCTTTGTGGCGTCTGCAGTCAGGCTATGATGGAACCACTTTCACTGGCTGTTTAATGTGTTCTCTTAGGAAAGCTGTTTGTTCTGAAAGATTTATTGGTCTTTTTAGAAACATTTCTGGTGTTGGCTAAGATGTTTGCCTCTTAGAGGCAAGTGCTTGGTGTCCTCTCAAGGCCAGCTAAGGAATGTGCAAGAGCCTACTGCGGGGTGAGCGGCGGCCTTGCTGCTTGCCACAGGAGATTGGTGTAACCCGGGGATGAGACACATGGAGGGTGAGGGACATGCACACTGAAGGCAGATGCACACCACAGATAACAGTCTCCCCTCTGCTATGGACAAGAAAAGAAGCTGAGAAATGGGTACTGAAGAAGAGGTGCTCCTGGCAGAGAGAGAGAGAAATTCACAAGTAACACACATCCCTTCCTGTGGTTCAAGAAAAGAAGCAAAATTGTGTGTGTGTGTAGGGGGGGGGGGATTTAACTACAAGAGAAACTTGAACACTTTCAAGGATTCTGAGGCTAAGTGAAGGAATTCAAACATGTCCAAATCTATACCGACACTGGCTTACAAGCCCCTCTTCTCTCCCCACCATGTCTGCCTTCTAACTGGGCTCTGCCTCATCCAGTCCACCCTTTCCAATCAGAGGCTGCACCAGCCAGTGATGAAAACCCTCAGGACCAGGATCTTGTCTCCCATGTGAAAGACACAGACACACCCCATCTGGGAGGTGAGTCCTGGGCATGGCCCAGCATGGGAGAAACAGGCTCAAGGTCCGGGACCATGGGCGCCTGCCATACTTCTGTAAAATTCTCCCAGGGCTCCCTGGAGACCTGGCGGGCAGAATGGGAAATGCTGCTGAGGGAAGGGTCTTCCCAGGCAGTGGCTCAAGGGTTTCCTACTCAGTGGATCTACTTCCTCCTGGGAAAACAGAGCCTGGTCTCAAAAACTTCCCTGTCTAAAGCCAGGGCCTTCTTGCTCTGCTTGTGCTCATGTGTTATGATCAACACATGTAGTTGTACCCTCCTCAACTGAATGATCCTTCCCTGGCCCTGTGGTTTGGCTGGAAGGCATCCTGGACCAGGACACTGGTTGGTCAGTGGCACAGCCCACAGGGTACTCCACGAAGCCCCAGAACCCCGCTCTCTCTGGGGTTCAGTGCTCTCCAGACTATCAGGTGCAGTAATCTCAGGAGTGCTTCTGACTTGAGCCCGAGTACTGGGTTATAAAGGGAACTCTTGTGCCCTTCAAAGTCACATGAGGGGGCTAGTGTGCGGTGTAATGAGTTAAGCCATTGCCTGCAACCTGGCATCTCATAGGAGTCATAGGAGTGCCGGTTCCAGTCCTGCCTGCTCCACTTCTGATCCAGCTCCTGATGAGCGCACCTTGTAAAAGTAGTGGGGGATGAGCCCAAGTGCTTGGGTCCCTGTCACCCACGAGGAAGATCTGGATGGAGTTTAAAGCTCCTGGCTTTGCAGCCATTTGGGGTTTGAACCGAAGGAATGAAGATCTCTCTCTGTCACTCCATCTCTCTCAAAAAAAAAAAAAAAAAAAAAAAGGCATGAGGGTTCCATCTGGGATCCTCTCAACTTCACTTCCCTCCTTTTGAGGCAGAGGCTTTTGCCCCTCGCATCCTGCCTAACCAAGCACTGGGCTACTGACATCCAGGAATCTTTAGAGGCTGCAGCTCTCTGCCTCCTCCATGAGCAGCCTTCAGGTGCAGGCAGTGAAAGGCACTCTAGCATCATGACTTCCCTGTCTGCCTCTCAGAACAGAATGATCACGAATCCTCTAAGATGGCCAAACACCACTCCCTTACATTAAAATGGGGGAAAACACTGGCCTGATTTATCATCTTGGAAACAGGAGCTGTGGACCATCAGGAAGGTCAGAACACATGAGACAAGTGGACCTGCTGACTGGCCACACACACAGCATGATTCTGGCCTTATTTAGTCCGACTGCCAATGGACGGACACTTCTGAGGTGTGTCAGGAGCAGGCCCAGGTGTTGTATACCGAATGAACCCTGACCACACAGGTGTCCCTGCAGCAGTGCAGGTGAGGCAGTTTAACCCAGGCTGATTTGAGACCAACTTCTCCAACTTTGAATGGAGCAGTTCTGCTGGACCCACGGATGGGGCTGGGATGGGGGTGGGCGGGAGAGTGGCGGGTTTTATGGAGCATTTCTATTCTTAGCTCCCCGAGGGGGAGGCAGACAGAGAGCCCGGTTCTCCTCCATTCCATTCCCCCTCCTTGAACGGCATTTAACGCGAGGCTCCTGCCAGCTGGCGGGCAGCCACACCAATGGCCCTGTCAGTGCTGGCCATGGAGGGAGAAGAAACTCGACCATAAAAGGCCAGATCTGTAGCCCGGGCGGCGGTGGGGGAGGGGAGTGTGTGGCACCGGGGTGGGCCTGCTGGGATGTGGGGGGTTAGAGGGGCATACTGGTGCCAGAAAAGCCAGGAGCTGATCCGGGTGGCATTTTCTTCCCACTCTCCCCTCAAAGCAGGGGGAACACCCCGGGAGAAGCAGAAATGGACGCTGATGAAAGGGGTACAGGCAGAACCAGATCAGCACATTAGGTGTGGGTTAAAGTGCATGGACAAAGGGAACCCTGGTGGGTCCTGGCTGCCTCTGAAGGTGAGGATGGGGTTACTGAAATGAGCACCTGGCACCCATTCCTCCCACCTCCAGAGAGTAGCAGTGAGAAAAAGGCCCCATTTCTCCCTCCTGAAAGATGCAAGTCTGTTCCATGAACCCTCAGTGCCAGCCATCCTATATGGGAAAACTCCTTGGCCTGGGAGACAGAGACAAGGGGCAGAAACTGGGGGAAGAAGATGGAACCACGAACAGAGCGATCAAAAGTACCTATTTCCTGGGGTGAAAAAAAATGAGGCAGCATGAGGGACAGGTGAGAGCACGGGCCCCTGGAGGGGAAGGCTAGTGTACAGCAAGGGAGGGAGGCTCCCTCCTAACAGCCCCTGCATCTAGTGGCCCCAGCTCCAGGCGATGCTGCAGGACTTGGCGTGCAAGGAGCTAGGCTGGGGTCAGGGATGGTGATCTGCTGTGTGGCTGGCTTGGACTCAACTCACAGCCACCTCACTTGACTTCTGGTCTGTGCTGCTCTTTGTCCTTCTATCATGTCCCTTCTTCCCAGCGGACAAGAACTCCATTGGCCCTGGAAGAAGGTGGTGGTGTGAAGATGCTGTCCCATTACTGAGTCTCTAAGGTAAATTTTCCAGTTGGAGGATTCCTTCACTTTCTGGGGTCTTCTGTCTCTCCTCACTCTCCCAGGGGAGGCCTATGGAGGCCAGGGGATCAAGAGAAACAGCAAGAGCTTAGTGCCTGCTGGCACCCCACTGTGCTGGGTGACTTGGCTTTCACTGGCCCTGGCCTTCCCATGCATGCAAAGTCCTGTCCACCCAGGGACTCATCCCTGCAAGCTGGGACATTACAGCCATGACAGACCTCAAGAGCTACCTTCTTCAGCTTCTAATTCCCTGCCTGGCACTTCCCTGTGATAGGGCCAGGGGAAGCCTTCTGCCCCCACTCTATCACGGCTCTGCGAGTATTCTTGCTCATCAGTTCTGGGTTGCCCATGTGTATAGCAAGCAGGGGGTCCAGGGCAGGCTCGACATACCCTGCTGGCAGCTTTGTGGGCTTCATCAGAAGCCCAGCAGAGGGGTCTGAGCCAGCTTTTGCTCCCCTCCCCAAGGCCAGGTACTAGCTCTACTGTGAGGTTGGGGGTATAGGCTGTTCTACTCATTCTCCCAGAGAAGCCCCCCGCCCTGTTCCCCTTAACTCTCACAAAGGTGTCCTACAAGCTTGGAAGCCAAGAACAATCAGAAAACCCACACAGGCCTTGGTCAGGTGTCAATAAACAATATTGGGCTTTCATGGATACCATGTGGGGAGGCCCAGACACGCATATACCTACCATCTGGTCTGTATCAGCCTGCTGCTGTTCCCTGCACCTGCCACACAGGGAGCCCCTGGGGCTAAGCACGACAAGCAGCAAGGACACCAGTTAGCAAGTTACTTGAATGCTCTGGACAGAGTCGACCAGGGCACACACAGAGTGATGAGACAAGAGAACAAAGTGAACTTGAGAATCAGCCTGGACACAGACTCAGCTCATGTAAGAGGTGAGGAAAAGAGAGTTGAGCTAGGGTGAGGAGGTGTCCTGGCCAACTAATAGGTGTGAGAACATGGCCTCAGGGAGCTAAGATGTGTTGTTAAAATAGAAGGATTTCCTTGTCAGGAGGGTTGGTCAGAGAGAGGGCTTGAGAAGAAGGAGGGAGGGCTGAAGCAAGACAAAATATTGCAGGTGTGGCATCAACTTGCACAGCAGGGCTAAGAGATAACATCAGTAGGTTTCAGGGAGGAGCCAACAGAGGAGAGGGGGATGAGAAGAGAGAAGGTGGGCGCCCCAAGCCTGGGAGCCAGAAGAACAGGAGGAGGCAACAGACCCTGCTGGTGTGTGCATGTGTGTGTGTGAGAGAGACAAAGGTGGGCCATCTGCATGGCCCGAAGGAGGAATCATGCTGGGGACAGAGACAGACCCTGGAGGTGTGAGGCCAAGAAGCTGAGGAAGTTTATGTCTGATGTCTCATTTCTCAGAGAAGCTAAAGGTCAAGATTGCAGGCTGGGAGACCTCAGGGCATAGCACTGAGCAGACACAAAGGAAGAGATTTCAGAGACCAGTCCTGGCAGCTAAGCTGACCCTGGTCCTTCTGCAGTGCCCCTGGGATCTGGCAAGGAGCGGTGAAGTGAACAGGCAGCACTGATCCAAGGCGAGGATTTGCAAAGGGGGTGGGGTAGGGGGAGGGAGGTAAGAGAAGGGGCTAAAGGTACCAGCAGCAGAGGGTATGGAGTGGGACAGTCTCCAATGATTACACAGAAAGAGAACCGGTGTGTGTGGGGCGTTGAGAAAGAGGAAAGTAAGTGTGTGTGTGTGTGTGTGTGTGTGTGTGTGTGCACGCGCGCATGCATGCGTGTGTAGCACTGGCAGTGCAGAATCTTCAGACCATAATGAGCTTGAAGGACAGCAATGGTGCGGAGTGAAGGGGGCACAAAAGGTTGGGAGAATAGAAATGCACAGAAAAAGGCGCTGAAGGTGATGAGAGTCTGAGGCTCATGAACCTTCCTGAGCCTCATAGAGACTGCTAGAGACTCACACATCCACCTGACACTCACACATCCCATCTGGAATACTCATACATCCACCTGAGGCTCACTGCCCTCCTCGCCCTAGGTTCCCAGCCCCCAGTGGGGTCCAGTACTCACCCACGACAGTGAGGTTCACCTGGGCTTGCCTGCTGCCCAGCTTGTTCTCCACTACCAGTGTGTAGCAGCCGCAATGCTCCTGGCGTGCAGCCAGGATGGTGAGCTTGCTGCCAGCCTCACTGTTCTCCACCTTGATGTGCTCGCTGTCCTGGATCTGAGGGCAGGGGGAACAGGAGATGGAATTCAGGCCATGGAAGGGAGCAGGCTCCTCTCCACAGCCTGCTCCCTGGGCAACAAAGCTGGACAAGCTGGGGAGCTTTGTATCCTCTGCCGCTTCTCCGCTGCATCTGGGGCTGCACTTCCCTGTGAGGGCCCAGCCCTGAGATATGCAGGGGGATGGACCCTCTTGGTGCTTTCTGCTCCCAGAAATGAGCTCCTGGGTGTCCTGACCCCCTTCCATTGCTCTGAGATGGGATAACAGGAGGGCACATCTGAGCACACTTGGCAAGCCCACTCGGGTGTGCTCTGACCTCTTCTGGGCTGCCTGAGGTACCAGTCACTAGCCAATGTGACTATTTAAATTTCAATGAAGTGAAAACAACATAAGTGTCCATCAGTCCGTCAGTACAAAGTGGTTCCCCCAGACAATGGAATATTACCCACCCCACAAAAACAGAAGGCCGTGTTGATCGGTACTACCACATGCTCAGAGGAGTCCTGAAGCATTACACTAAGGGCAGGGGGAAAGCTAAACACACAACACGGCACATTGTATCACCCCATACATGTGAAGTGTCTCTATAGGCAGCAAATGGTAGACCAGGAATCTTTAGGGCCAGAAGGGGAGCGGCTACTAATGAGTCTTGAATTTTCTTTCTGGGGTGCAATTTGAGGATGGCAATAACTTGCATGACCTTGCAAATGTACTACAACTCATTGAACCGTATACTTTCAAAGTATGTACTGTAGTGAGTCAGATCTTAACAAAGTTGTACCAACAATTTTAATTAAATAAAATGTATAAGTCCAGTCCTCAGTTGCATTGGCCACATTTCATGAGCTCCACACAGCCATAGATCAGCAGATGCCATATGGGACAACACAGGTATAGAATGCTCTATCCAGAAAGTTCTGATGGATATAGTGGGGACTCAGCTAAAGTCCCCTGAAAAGGAATGTGATTGCATTTCGTTTCAGATCATGTAGCCCAGATGTGGATCAAGGCAGATGCATACTGGGATGATGTCAGAGGCCCTCTTGCCTTATCTATCTTTTGAGACCACCTCTACTTTCCTCCCTGGCACTGGCTGCTCATCCTTTCAACAAGGAGATGTGAGCAGCTTGGAAGGGAAAACCACAGAGGACTCAGAATAAAGCCACACCTCCTGCCCAGCATTGGCTCTCTGTTGATTGCCCATGTGGATGCATGCTACCAGCATGGGGTTGCAGCCATGGCTGGGCTCCCCACATCCTGGTTGTTTGGATTCTTAAACATGTCTCCATGGCAGAATGATTATAAACTATACTAGATTCCAGGATCAACCTGCTAGATTCCTACCTAGCATGTAATAACTCTTCCAAATATTCAGATTCATTTTGATTTACTCTGGCATGTGGAGTCTGAGCAGTCACTACGGATGGGAAGCCCTCTGTGAGCCAACACAGGATCACAGAGAGCCCAGGGTCACCTGAGGGCACCGGTTTGACTTCCCTGACCCTGAGCAGGAGTCCAGCATGAGGCCAGAGTGAAAGAGGGGACCAGAGGTAGCTTCAATTGTCTCTAACACAGGGCTGACTAGAAGGGTCAGATGATCCTTAGGATCATTAGGGACTCGAGGCTGCTGGGCAGGCAGAGGTCTCTTCCATTCCTAAGAGGACTCAGACGATGCCCCTTCTATCACATCTCTCTGGCTTAGCCTGGACCCATCCTCCTACTGACCTGTTTGCGGAACTTCATCCAGGTGCAGGTGAGGGGCTGGGTGCCTGCCACCTTCCCAAAGAGCTCCACACGCTCCCCTGCGCGCACCTTCTGGTCCTCAGGGAACTGCAGGATCTGAGGAGGCATGGCTGAAAGAGACAGGGGAGGCAGGGAGTGAGAAGTTGGAAGGAGGCAAGCAAAGGGGAGGAAGGGAGAGAAGGGTGGGGGAAAGAGCAAGGACTTGGGGGTGGGAGTGAGAATAAGGGAGAGAGGGAGTGAGGGGAGACAGTGGGGAGAGGAGAGGGAGACAGTGAGGAGGGGGAGGGAAACAGTAAGGAGTCAGGGGAGGGGGAGGGAGGCTGGACATTCTTGCTTTTTCCAATGCCCCTAGTACCTTGCTCTGTTGGCTCTCACTGCCTACAATGTGGGACTGGGGCACCTGAGCTCAGGAGTTCGCTGGGTTATCTCCCCTCCTGCTTCTTCAGATGGAGCCTGCACACTCTCCATGGCCTGATTCTGCATGTAGCAGGTTGTCCTTGGTTTCTGAACCTGCTAAGCCATTGCCCAGTGGAGCAGCCCTCACCTGCTCCAGGTGTCCCTGGCTGGCTAGCTGGCTATCTCCAGTTCTCTGCCTTTGGCCTCTTTTCTGGTCTCCACAGAAGGATGCCAGGCAGAGCGGGGCACAAAAGAGCAGGAGGGACAGAGGGAGGACAGAGGGCATGGCAGAAGATCCCAGCAGGGGTTGGGGAAGCTGCTGTTCACATAGAGGGAAAGGGACTAGAAGACAAGGCAGGGGTAGTATGAGGGACCAGGCCAACAGATACTGGCTCCGGAAAAACATAGAGGTCCATTTTCCAAGGACTGGCACGTCCAGGAGGTGAGTGCAGCAGGGTAAAACCAACCCCCTCGCCCTCAACACTGTGATGACCAATTACCTGCCTTCGGTGGCGTCTTGGGAGTGGGTTTCTTTTTCACAGTGGCATCACCTGCAACACAAAATGTCCTGAGTTACTTCTTGTTGGTCCTGGCTTCCCATAAAGCTTCCCCAGTCATGGGGAGGACCTGGTCTTGCCCTCTGCCCTGCCCCATTTCACCCCATCCATCTGGGAGCCCTCACTTAAGCTTGTCTTTCCAGGCATCCCCTTGCCCTGTCATCCACACAACCTTGCCACTGAGTGAGGAGTATCAGAGCTCAAGGGTCTTTTGCGGGAGAGAGTCCCTGGAACCTGAGATAAGATTTCTTATAACTGCTTAAGCTCCTATACTCCCAAAGAGTATAGGAGCTTTCAGACTGCCAATTCTAACTTTCAGGAAACTCAGAAAGGAAATTATGTCAGATAAATCAACTAAAATTAGCTTTGGTTGGGGATCCAACAGTCTCAGGCTTCCCTTGGGTCAAAGTGGCTTTCATTTTCCTCGGTGTCTGTTGGCTGACGAAAGCAATGCAGCAATAAATGGGGTCCTCCATCTTCCTTCCTACCCCACTTCCTTCAAATCAAATAAGAAAAATGATCCAAATGGCATTGGCAGCACCAATGCATTGAGCTGGCAAAATGATAGTGTGGTGCACGAACAAAATAACTTTGAAGGAAGTGGGGTAGGAAGGAAGAAGGAGGACCCCATTTATTGCTGCATTGCTTATTTTGTCAGTGTTTCTCTCCGAGGGTGTTTGCACCAAGGTTGCTGGTCCCATTGATCCAAGGGCATTGGAAATATGCAGGTGTGCAAACACTTGTATGCAAATGATAACAGTGGCTTTACTTAGAACTGCCAAAGAGTTTGAAGGTGCTCAATGTCCATCAAGTGGCAAATGGACGAACTATGGCATAGACAGATGCCATAAAACACTTTTCACCAATGATGAACTATTGGCATCCACAGCCCTGACAATCACGGATGATTTAACCTTTCTGTTCTAACAGACCTCAAACTTTGTGTGTGAGGATTCCTTTTCTATGTTTTAGAGAAGGTGCAACGACTGGGAAAGAGAACACACCAGTGGTTTCTGGGGGTGGGTGGGCTAGGCACTGATCATAGAGGGACACAGGGCAATGTTGTGAAGTGATGGAATCATGTCCTGGTGTTAGTTACATGATTATCTAAGGGGAATTTAAAAAGTTCATGCAAAATGGACTTGAAGGATATGCTTATTGTATAAAAGCTTTGGAAATTTGTGCACTGTTTTAAAATGTGCATTTTTGCATGTACTTCAAAATTATTCATTTTATTTGAAAGGCAGAGAGACAGAGATCTCCCATTCACTGGGTTAGTTCCCACATGCTTTTTACAGCGAAGGTTGGGCCAGGCTGAAGCCAGAAGGGGGTACTGAGTCCCAGTTAGGTTCCTCCCATCTGGGTGGCAGGGAGTCAATCACTGGGCCCATCCATCTGCTGTCACCAGTGGTCAGCAGGAGGCTGGGATGAACACTTGAATCCAGGCACTCTGACATAAGATGTGGGAGGGTCTCACCTGCTGTGCTGAATGCCCAGCCCCCTTTCCCAGAAACCTTCGGGAAAGAAATGGACTTCAAAATATCTGTGCCTCAAAATAAGTGTAGTTTAAAAGTCCATTTTCCATGAACTTTGTCAAGGACCTTCTCATGAATCTGTCATGACTCACAGACCTGTATCGCAGCATGGATGAAGATGAACAGAGGAAAATTCTACGTAGCAACAGGAAAACCAAGAAGCATCCCCTTTTGCAATGAGTGCTCTCTGACAGTCCATACAGATAGAGCCACCGCCCACAGCACTTCCATGGTCCTTACCCTGCTGGGACAACCTTTCCCTGCCACCCTCCCTTCACCTCTGCAGGTGCCAGGCAAGCAGCTGATTGGCAGCTGCTCCAGGACCACAGCACGTTACTGGCTTGGCGAAGAATCATTTATGCTCTCCTATAATGCCCAGTGCTACCGATTGGCTGAATATCCCTGGGATTAAGTAACAAGAGGATTCCCTGAGAGCCCAAAGCTCTGGGTTCCCAGCCCAGGATAGGACCTGTTTCTCCCATGTTCACATTGACTCACTACCTTGTTCACCTACTCTTCCTTTCCAAACATCTGCTGAAGATCTACTATAGACTAGTAAACTACAAAGAAGAACACTATGGAAGTAGTCACTGACAGAAAACCAAAGAAATGTAACGGATAAAGTGGGGCAGGTACTGTGGTGCAGCAGTCAGGCAGTCACTTGGGATGCCTGCGTTCCATGTTGGAGTGCCTGAGATGGGAGTCCTGCCTCTGCTTCCTATCCATCTTCCTGCGCATCCTGGGAGGCAGCAGGGGATGCCTGCAGTACTTGGGCCTCTGCCACTCATATGAAAGACTAGGAGGAAGTTCCTGCTTCCTGGCCTGGTCTTGGCTGTTGTGGGGTTTTGGGAAGTTAACTAACAGGTAGAAGACCTGCCTTTCTCTATCACACTGCCTTTCAAATGAACAAAAACAAACTAAAGACAAATTCCTAATATTTCTTGTGGTTACTATTACAGGGTCGTTGCATTCAGAGTAAAAAGTGTTTGGAAAAACCAGAGAGAGGGGCCGGCATTGTGGTACCATAGACCGTCTCCTCCTGTAGTGCCAGTATCCCACATGGGCATGGTTCATATCTCAGCTGCTCCACTTCTGATCCAGCTCCCTGCTTACAGTCTGGGAAAGCAGCTGGGGATGGCTCAAGTTCTTACACCCCTGCACCCACGAGGGAGACACAGAAGAAGCTCCTGGCTCCTGCTTTGGATCAGTTCAGCTCTGGCCATTGTGGCCAACCGAGGAATGGGTCAATGGAAGGAAGATCTGTGTCTGTCTCTCTGTATTTCAAAATAAAATAAATATTAAAAAGAGAGAGAGAGAGAGAGAGAAGTGAAGGCTTATATTCAAGGCCTAAGAAGTCAAGATGCATGGTCCCTGAGAAGGTTTTTTTTTCTTTTATCATGGAGCACAATTAGCAGACTTTGCGTAAGAACCACAAATTAGGTGACAGAATTGCGTCAACATGAATTTCCTGTTTTGACCATCAAACTGGTTTTGAGACCATGCTTGCTTTTTTAAAAAAATAATTTTAAGTACCAGTGAACTTCAAAAAGTTTGTGGAAAGTACAATTGACAAAATATGGAAATCTGTGCATAGTTTTTCATAACATGAATTTTCTATGAACTTCATGAAGACTTTATGTACATGGATATGAAGTGAGAAGAACGAGGCTATATTCTCCAGCAGTCAACATGTGGTTGTTGACATAATGGAGAATGGGGACCAGTGGGCAGAGGAGATGGGGAACAGGCCAAGGGAGGCTGTGGAAGGACCTGCAGACCAGAGAAACCACAGGAGCCTCGGGTTGGAAGCAGATAGGAGTTAGAGCAATACTTAGGAGGGGGTGACAGTGGTGAGGAAAGAAACTGTATAAAGAAAACAATACAAAGAAAACAAAAACCCACTTCCTCTCTTGAACTAGCCACATCTCAAGTGCTCTGGGGTGACATCATTGAGTGAGTGGTCACCGTTGTTATCACACTCTTCAGACACAGAACCACACAACGTTTCACCGGCTGATGCTGGTATCCAGGGTCCAGTCCCCAAGCTAGGCCTTTGTCTTCAGTGAACAGGAAGACCCCAGCCATCCACCCTGACAGATCTTGCCAGTTCCCAGAGGACAAGGATATCCAATGAGCAAGCTGTTGCTAGGGCCCTTGACAGGCACTGACCTAGCTTCATAACGAAGGGAAGACACAAATGAGAGGCAGAGAAAACACAAAAGATTGGCAGGGGCTCCAAGCAAGGGAGGCCCAGGGGTTGTTGAGGATGTCTCGCTTAGTCACATGATGGAGATGCTCATATGCAGTCTGGTTTGGACAAGTGAACTTGGGGGCTGAGAGATGGGAATTTATGTGCAGGGGAGAAGCTTAGGTCAGAATTCTGGAGAGAGGCTACCATGTGATTCTAACGGCAACCATGGGCTGGATTGGTTGCTTCTTTAGGCGGGGGGGGGGGGGGACGCAGGGGGGGGATGAATGCAATGAGAAGGGACCAGTGTGTGACCCCAGGCAATTCATGGGGAGCTGGGGGACCCTGGGAGGAGGAATAGGAAAAAGAAGGCAGGGCTCTGGAAGCCCCAAGTGTGAGAGGCCCCACATGCAGAGCTGGAGGGGTCAGAAGCTTCTCAAGCAAACAGGGGGTGGAAATCAGTCAGAATGCTGGAGGTGAAAGGTCTGAGCTGAGAAAGAGATGGAAGGCAGAAGGCCAGCATTCAGCAAAGGGGAACCCACAGACCCTAGGAGGGGCCAGCAGGGAAGTCACAGCCCATAGGAGAGACAGGAGCAGAGTGGGATATATAGGCTATCAGGGACAGCCCACAAACCCTGGCCCACTTAGCTCTGGGCCTACTGGCAAGGGAAATGCCCTCAAGGGAGGGGAGGAGACAGACCATCATGGGAAGCTGTGTGGAGCGCTGTTCCTGCTGATCTGTGTCCCGCCAAAATCAGATGCTGGAACTTCAGCCCCCATGCTGGGGAGACAGCTAGACGCACACACTCAAAGGGGAGACTGAGATGTCACCCATCTACAAACAGGGGGAGGAAACCATGAGGGAATACCCAGTCTGTGGTGTGCAGTTTCGGCAGCCCCAGCTTATGAATGCAGTATGGATAGACTATGACAGGGAGTAGGTGGGCAACAGAGGCTGACAGCTCCTGGATGGTAAGTTAAGAGTTTGTGGTAGGGGCAGCGGCACAGCACACATGTCCTGCCCCATACGCTGGTTGTGGATGAATCTATGTGAATATAAGAACTTCTCTAAGATCCATCTTTCAATATTATATTTAAACAGCACTTCAGGTCAATATTTGGTTGTTTCTCCTATAAAAATGGAGCTACTGCTATTTCAAATTGGGTGGCATATGAAACTGGTTTGGTTCCTATCAGTGAAAATAATTTTGAATCCTAACGCTGTTCTCTATCTTATTCTATACATATTTTCTGTGACCATCTGCTGTAAT